TAGCCTCAGGCTAAAGCAGCTCATTTCGACCTTTTTTTTTTTTTCCATATTTTTATTGTTATTTATTTTTAAATAATTTGTTTATTCACTTGTCAGAGAAGGTCTTAATACATAATTGAAAAGTGTGGAATAATGCCTTTTCAAATATTTCTTTTTGTTTAAATTGGGGTAAGTGTTTCATTTATTTCCCCTTTATTTCAAAACAAAAACAGATGCGTTGGCAGCTCTATTTGTTAAGCTGTCATGTTTTGTTGTGGCTTTGCTCAGGTTTCAGCTCTGAAAACGATGGCCGTCCAAGGTGGTCCCACCTACAGCCTGTCTCAGCAACCTTGGGCTCAGCCAGGTAAGATTTGTCTCAGGAAAACACCATGAAGCAATTCATCAAGGCCCATATGGCAAATGCTAGAGGTTATGCCAGTGTTTTTCTTTGCCTTTTTTCAGCATATACATTTTTTTTTCCTTTCCCCTCTCTTTTCAGCAAAGATCAACGATATAGTGATGGCCACATACCGGGTGATGAAGAGCAAGCTGCCGAGCACTTTACAGAGCATGTCCTTGTACTTGGCCAACAGAGACACAGAGTTCATCCTTTTTAAGCCTGTTCGGGTGGGTGGCAGAAAAGCAGAGGGCTGACATTTACTGGATGACTTGGTTTCTTTTTAGTCATTATAACGGCTTAAAAAAGTTATTTGCTTCCTTATTTACTGTCTGGCTTTACCTTGCTGTCACAGTGCAAGTGTAATTTAAATTTTAGTTTGTTAGATAAGATTATATTATTTACAGAGTGCCATCAGGTTTTTCTGCATTTGTCATGAGTGTGAATATTTGATCCAACTACAGTTAGATGTACAAGTCAGAATTTTCTGTGGAGTTTCCTAAATCCACACAGTCAAAAATATCCTTATAGGCTATAATGTGCACATGCACAGAGCAATACTTAGCTTTAGTTAATTGAAGATAAACCACAGGTGTTTTGTTGGCATATCTGGGTCCCGGTTCAAGTGTTTGGCCACACTTATTCAAAACAAGTTGGTTTGCAGGGATAGTCTTGGCGTTTAAACAAAATCAATTGAGGTTGGAGCCATTCTAGAACATTACTATTAACGACAACAGAGATCAGCTGTGTCAGTCATCTGCCAAAAAAAATGTGCCCCATTCTTTCCCATCAAACAATCCACTTTGGCTGCATTTCATCGCTTATCAGCACCCAAGGCTATGAGGCAGAGCGGCCAGTGATTCTTTCTGAACCTGTTCTGTTCAGAAGCAGTGACGCTTCACATTGGACTATCCAACGCTGGAGTCCAGTGATTTCTTTCTTTCTTTTTTTTTGTCTGCAAGCACTTCAATGCAAGGCATCTTAAGTGTGTTAAACGCACCACTTGATGCACATCATCTGATAAGATGCATCACTTTGCTCCCAAAATGCCTCCTTCTTTATTCTGCTTCATAGGCATCATTGAGCTAAGAAACAAGTCTATGAATCTTAAGAAGGGACACCACTCTCATCGTTTATAGTGCATCATGTTTAACATCAGGATGAACTGATAAACACTGACTAGAAAAGATGCATCTGATCTGAATTTAAGTCTTAAGCTTCACTGCAATTTTCACTTGCCCACATTGGCAAACTAAATGCTGTCTGCTGTAATTTCAGACAAGAAACAAGTACACTTGTTTCTAGTACCAGTAAATACTTCAAGAAGTATACATGTTTCTTGTCTGAAGAAACAGTTGTTGCAGAAATGGCAACAATTGTCTTTGGAGGGATTCACAGTGAGGCTTTCTAACCTAAAGAAACAGCGCAACCGTTGAAGCACGGTCTTGGCAGAATCATGCCGAGGGCATGGTTTGTTATTGCATAAGACAGAATATATAATACAGTCTATCACCTTTGTGTCCAAAATTTTACCTGTAGAAGAATGGCAGGGATCAGGTAAATGCAGGAACCACAAAGGTGCAAACCTATACTGAAACTACAAGGTACTAGAACACCACGTTCACTGTCCACACTAAAATCTACAGTAAAATTAGTTTTACATCAGTGTGGACTAAGATCTTGATTTGATTTTGATTTAAAAGTAAGCTGAACAAGAAGGAATACATGGGTTGTGCTTTGCCCCTGCGCCACCTCAGCACCCCGTCTCTGGAAGCACTTAACCTCAAAGTGATGGACTCTGCTTAGAAGTCAGGGACATGTCAGGAATCCAGCTAATTTAAATTGATTCAACAGATTTGATGAGAAGCATGGTCAGATGTGGGGTAGAAGGTTGATGATTGCTACAAAACGTGGTTTCTCTATACCTTCTTCAAGGACATTTTTCAAATATTTGTAATGATGTATTTTTATAGTTAAGCCTGTATGAGTAATTTTTACTCACAGTCTCTGTGGGTCATATAAAACCCAGAATAAATTCGATCTTGGTCTTTATGCCTAGTCTATAAAGATATTATTTAAATGGTTGTGGGGGGAAAAAACGGTTTAAATGTATAAATAAGAGCACACAAATTAATACGACATTAATTCTGAGTGTTTTTGGCACTAGATATATTCTGTTATTGTGCTGTCATGTAAACAAACCTCTTATAATGTTAGGTCTTATTTGTGTTCTTGTTCATCCATTCATTCGTGGAAATTAGCTGCTGAGATGAGAGGACTGGAGTTGAATTTTTTGGAGAGACGGTGACAGCAGCTCTTTGTTTGCCGCTGACTCTCGATAACTGTTGTTGTTTTAATGTGGCACGGAGATGGAAAATCTCTCGCCAAAAATTTTGTCAGTGTGATTGAACTCTAATAGAGAAATATTTGTGCTGCCTGTGTACTGTTCATCAAGGTGCCAGGTGAGGCTGAATGAGAGAAACAAAATTCACTGGTTGACATGGAAACAGGGATAGTAAGGGGACAGAGGCCAGATGGAAATGTGGTTTAATTTCCCTCCAGCTCTCAGTAATAGGATGTTTTTTTTTTCTCTCTCTTTTTTTTTTCATACAGAATAACATCCAGCAGGTTTTCCAAAGACTGCACACTTTGCTCCAGGAGGAATACAGTGGAGAAGACCTTCAAATCATCGCATGTCCATCTATGGAGCAGGTACAGCTCTGTGGGATTAGCACAGCCTTTAGGGGCTTTAGATATTTTAAATAATGATGCTCCAGCTTCTAAAAGTGCTTCTAGCCAACTTCAGGAAAGATACATTTAATAAAGTGTATCAGCACAGGCCCAGCGAGCGCTCATCACTTTCCATGGCTTTATTTCAGGTTAACCTGCTGCTGTCTGTGAATAAGTAATGTTTGGTGAATCGATGCACCCTCTCGATGGCGGCGTGAAGCCGGCGCTTCAGTCATGACCGGGAGGCAGAGGGGGCAAAATGACCAGAAAAGACCCTGCATCTGTGCTACCTGCTGGGACGGGAGTGCTGGATGGATGTTTTAAAATATATATATATATCAGTTGAAGGTTTGGGTACTCCTGTTGAACTCCACATAGGAGAAGGACTTTTCAAGGTCAGCCTGTTGCACAAAAATTAGGGTCTTAGGGTTACTCCTACTTACAGTGGTGGGTTTATTATCACCGTTGCATCTCTTAATATGGGCCAGTTTTGGTGGTAATATAAAGATGGGGTATGGATTTAAAAACGAGGACATGACAGACTTCTTAAAGTCAGTTAGCAACTGATGGTCAGCAAGTCACAGTCATATGCCCAGTTCCCTTCTTTGGTTCGGAAGGAAAATGCTGCAAAAAATATTTAATTTCTTTATTTTACCATGCAAAATCTTTATACAACGCCTTGCAGAAATATTAATACCCTTCAAACATTTTCAAATTCATCACATGGCAACTACTGACCTTCAAATACTTTGTAGACTGAGACAAGGAAGTGCATCACTGTGAAGTGGAGGGAAAAAAAAATATACATAACTTGCATATTAAAAAAAAGAAGGTAAAAGGCAGTATAATCCACAATTTAGCTGAAGAATCTGTCACATGTTTAATAACTGTCCTTTATAGAGTTGCAAGACCACCAAAAGAAGTTCTGCAGAATTTTTTTTAAGACATGGTAGGGATACACCAAATCTGTATAAGCGATTGTGTTTTAAATGACAGCAAAAGTATTTTTTATTTTTTTTTACTACATGCAAAATATCCTAAATATTCAATCTCTACCATGACTCAGTGGTTGCAGCATATTGCTGTGGGAAGGCAGAGGTCCATCTTCCAGCAGAGCAACCTTGAACATCTAGACTGGGCTAAGGTGGAATAGCTAGGAGCAAAGCAACCTTATGTGTTACTGGAACTAAATCCAATGTATAATCTATAGCTTTAAAATGCAAAAAGAACTGCTCACAGATGCTCTTCATTCAGCTTGAACTACTTTGTACAGAAAAATTGGATGAACATATCAGTATCTAGATGAGCACTACTGGTAGAAATTACAAAGGGAAAATAAATGCTTGTCATGCATTTCAGACTTAGTCTTACATAGCATGTTAATGTCGTTTCCTTCCACTTCACAATTGAACAGAATTCTGTTGGTGCATAAAATCTGTTTCATGCCCCGAAGTTTGTTTTTACAAGGTGAAAAAATGTGAAGGTGAAGGAGTGTTCATTCTTTTGCAAGGCATTGTTAGTCTGTGTAGCCAAATGATGACCTGTACTGTGGGTGAGTCAAGTCTGACAAGTTGGTTCTCTCTAATCAAAGCAGAGACGGATGTTTTCACGAACCTTCTCACCTACAACCTCCACTTTGAATGTTTATTTTGTTTAGTTGCACATTTGGAAAGCAAAACTGAAAATTTGTTTTTATACTTCTTTTATAACTTGGTAAATTCAGCATTTACTCTCACACAGTGTAATATTTTGCTCTTACATGAAGAATGGATGTGTCATCAGTGTACTCTTTGCTTTGGTGTGTCTCATGTAAATTGGTTTGTAGAGGTCTTCTATTTATGGACATTCTTAATAAAAGAAGAGGTTATTAATGTTACTTGGCTTTATTTCTAAAAACCACTTAGTCGTTAAATTTAAATTCAAGGGACGCCACGGCTCAAGTCGCTTCACACAAATGAGAAAATCCTATTGAAGGACATTGTCCGCTTTGGGGGGTCTTTTTGGCAGAGTTGCCTTTTCACTGGCAGCTGCTGCCTCTCCATCTGCAGGATGAGGGCTGACCTTCGATGGAGTTGGGCTGCTTTGATCGGTGACGAGGGACTGGATGTTCTGGAGCAGCGCCTTGATCTCTGGACTCTTCTGCTTCAGATAAGACCGAAGCGAGTCAGTCACTGACGCCGTTTCCTGCCTGACATGTTCTGCCTGCAAAAAAAATAAATAAATAAAAAATGCAAAAGCAGAAGGGGTGATTTAGGTCTGAAATTGGGGTCACGCAATAACTTACGTCCACACTGGCCTCTTTGTTGACCTCCACACTGTGTTTATTGGAGTTGAAAAGGATGCTGATGTCTTCCTGGGATTTGATGCTGACTTTAAGGAAAGGGCTTAGGGTGAGGTGCATGGGCTGGCAGGGGGGAGCGTGGACATGTTGCTCATTGTCCTGCCACTTCCAGCGTTTCTTCAGATCTCCTGTGTGACTGAACAACGTACCTCCTGTTGAAGTAAGATTAACCCTAGCGTAGAAAGGGAATAGCTTGAAAGATTTTAGTGACTCATGGAGATTAAATAATAGAAATAGAAAAATACAATATTACCAAATTTTGCCATTCGCATGAAAGCAGGTCTGCTCTCTGCTGGTGAAAAGCGCCTTAATCTGCGGCTCATCGATTTTATTATCCAGAACCACCACACAGGACGAGTTGGTTGAATGCGATGTTGCCACGAGGATGGCAAGACTTCCCGATGGATAGCTTTCCAGCATGATTAAGGAGACAACGTTCTATTTGTATCAAAGCGATAATTTATCATCAGGCCTCACGTGAGAGGATACCACACATGTCCAGTTCCATCTTGAAGGACTAAATTGAATATTTTGCCATTTTTGTAGCGTCTGATAAGCGGCAACGTCTGTTAATGCAAAGAAGGAATTTTCACTTATTCTTAATTTGTCCATATATATACAGCTGTGTGAAAAACTAGAGGATAAATTAATGTTCAGTTGGAGATACTTCAAATAGGAGCAGTAAGAGATCTTATTTGAGTGCAATGTAAAATCCTGTTAAAAAGTACACGTCTATTTATAACCCTACCAGGACCAAGAAAGTTTGTTCCCCTAACAATCTCTTTGAGGTAAATGCAAATAAGACATTTCTTAATTTTTTACTTTGTTTGGATTGATCAGAATGTCTAACAACTAATCTATCTCGCATGGCAGCTTACATGCTTGAGCACCGCTTATTTCACAAAGCTTGCAGTCTCCATTCAAGCTTCTACCTGACAGATCAACCCTCCCCCTGCCCTTGCTCAGCTCCCGCAGACTCGCGACAGTCGTAATTAGAAAAAAGCCTGGTGGAACTGTTCGTCTGCTGGCCTTATCACATGAACTACTTACTACTCAGCACAATGCTCTGAAGAACAGTTGTTAAAGATAAGCTTTATTGTGAAGATGTGCTGAAGGCAGATTATTGAAGAGAGCAGGAGCTTCTTAAAGAGACAGAAACCCAATTTCAAGTGGTGAAACTACAAATTAAAATTTCTTGTAAGTCATGCAGCATTTTCATAACAACTGAAGGTTGTTACTTGGCTGTATTATAAAATGCCACCAAGTACCTGGAAAATGTATAATACCATCCCTTTAAGGTTTGCTAGTGTGAGATTGTGCTCAACAGATCAATTCACCTGGAGGTTTTTTATACATTTTTACTGCAATTTGAACACTTAACATGTTACATCACCTTTAGTCTCTCCTTTTTCACATTGAAATGGAAGATGCTGTTGTAGCTCATTTCTTTTTCACCCTCCTCTTCTGAGGTGGATGAATCGTAATCCAAAAAATCACTTGAGGTGTCATAATCTTCGTGTCCTGTAATGTCGTTAAAGATTCCATAACAGAGATGAATTACAGGGAATGATGGTAAAACCTTAATCTGCTTGCAATGTGATCCAGAGCATGTGCAACCTTCTCCAAGTGAATCCTGTTTCGACTTCAGCCCAGGCTCTCTAGGGGTGCGTACTGACTCTTTTCCTGACTCTCCATCAGTCACCCCCTAGGGAAAACACAAAATCTTACCAAGTATTTAGGATCTAGTTTCTAGTGCAAATATCTTAGTACTCTTGAAATAATACAAAATTAACTTACAGGTGATTTTTAAGCAAGACATAAGAGCTTGTGTGAAGTTGATAAGTTCTTAATATTGATGAAAGAGTAGTAACTCAAGTGGGAATGTTTTTCACTCATGGGGAAAATGTGGAATTGGCATTCTTTTATTCAATATTAAGCAGTTATATTCTTAAAGCAATTCCATGTTTTTTGGTAAAAAGTTATTTGTAAATTAATTTTGTCTTACTCTAAGTGCACTAAGATGTTTGCATTTGAAACTACACCAAAAATATTTGCCAAGATTTTGTGTTTTTTGCAGTGGAGTTTCATGAGCCACATTTGCTGCAGAAAAACTAATAAGTAAAAAAATGATATAAATATTCTAAATTCAGTTTTTATGCAAAACTTTAGTCAAGGCTGGCCAGAGGCAAAGCAGATTTTGTGGTTGGTTAAGGTCCACTCCTGTCTTCGGGGCCAGTAGGAACTTAAATTTAGCTCAAGTTCAGGAGAGGTTTATACTTTCACCAACAGTGCATAAATTAGATCTTTGAAGAAAATCTATGTATAATTTCATTTTAGTTTTTAAAATAATGCAACATGGAGCATTTGTTTGATTCTGATTAAGTGCCATCCTCTGGCAACATCCTAAGATATGCTGTTCAAATGTTTTGATGCAGGGGCCACAATAAGTAAAATAATATCAATTTCTTGTTAAACAATAAACATGGAGTGTTGTAGAGAAACAAGGTAGATAGTTTTTGCAGAAAAGGATCAGTAACGCAGTTTTGATTTTAAATTAAAAAAAATAAACACGTTTCCTTTATTTCAAGAAACATTTTTTGTTGTCTCTGCAATAGAACAAATAAAGAAGAGGGTTACAGGTTTCACCTTTTATTTTAACAGCATCATGAATTTAACTAAATGTAATAAATTGTGTTTCCAAAGTCTGCTTTTGAGTGAAGGTTGAGAATGTTGCTGGTTGTATTTACTATAAAATGAAATTTAAAATGTTTTCAAAGTCCTCGGTTAAATTGTATTTTTTCTGAAAATTCACCCACAAAAGTGAGGGAAGTCGTCTTTTTTTACACAAATAAGCACCATCCAAACTGTGTGAATGCTTCAGCAACTTTCAGCAGATTTACAGAAAGACTTTGTCTAAAAAATATTATTACGTAAACCGCTTGGCATGAGTCAAATGCATTCAGTGACATTGTTGCCGCTTTCTAGCTAAATTGAGGCCTTTTTTTATAAGATGTGTTCATTCATATTATGGTAGGATTTATGGTTTTAAAATCTAACTGGTAGTTTGTGTTAAAATCTTGTTGAAATGTTTTGATCAATTTGGTATTGAACTGCTAGATTTTCACATTTCTGCAAAACTACAAAAATAGCAGAAGAGGGTGAAGTGGAATGCTGTGATGAAGTGCCTCATTTACATTTGAAGAGACGGAACCAAAACGAATCAGAGTTAAACTTTAAATAGACCACAACTGAATGATTTAAATGTAATGAAGGATTCAAAAGCATGATGTGTCCTCTTGAAATGAACTAATGTGTCTGACAACAAAAAATATTCTGCCATCCAATAAATTAGCTTTTCAAAATTCTTATTTTCCAGGTTCAAATTTCAAAAATATTTATTTTCTTCACCGCTTTCAATTATTTTTTTTTTTATTCTGAAATTTAATTCTAGAATATTAGCACAGTGGTTTGTTTCATACTGTAAAGTTCACAGATAATGATGTTGAAAGTTTGTGTTTCCACAATTTAATCTGATTTAATACATTATATTGATATAAACTTGTTGTATTGTTGTGTTTTACAAATAGTGTCTCTTCAGTTTTAAGAAAAATGTTACTAGTTTGGTAAAATGTATATAAATAGCCGGTCAACACAGGACCCCTTTTCCATCTTTTGAATGCAGTTACATCTGTAACTTTATTCTGATTTATTCTAGTTGGCATTTAATACTCATCCTAGAATACCTGAACTCTGGAGTTCTAAATGTGCCAAGTCATGAATAAAATAAAATATAAATACTCAAATAGCTGTCTGAGTTCTGGACTCTGAAGCTGTGACCTAAATACTGAAACTGGGCACATTGACAGTCTAAGCAGTAATAATGAAAAGGATTTCTTTTTTTTCTCAAAATTTTTATCTGACATACCATTTCAGCTTAAAGTAGAGCTGAAGGAGAAAGGAATGTTGTTAATTTAACCCACATTTGTTCCTAAAATAGACTGTGACACAAAAACTGTAACAACGGAAAAGCAACTTCTCTCCTTTTTTTAACTACCAAAGTGTAGATAATGTAAAGTGAAGTACAAATTTTACTTTCGTGAAGGTGCTATCGGGGCAAATGCAGGAGATCTTTGAAGTCTGCATTGTCTATCCTCTGCTGACTTTTAAAAACATTTCAGATAGGAGCAAGTAATTGACTAACTGACATTTCCATCCCGTAGAGCTGTGCTGCAAGCATGGACAAAATGCTAAGAGGCTTGAAATAGCAGATCTGGGATTTTTAGAGAATCTACTCATTTCTTGTTGTAATACCTTACAATAATATAAATTCTGCTGTATATATGAACATTTCATTTCATCTGTCTGAATGGATGGTGTCAGGTGTTGTGGATTTTAATACTGCTGACTGCTTCCCCCCCTTTGTTTTAAAAATCAGTTCAATTCCAAGTTGCACACACCGATAGGAGCTTTTGTTCTTTTTAACATGAATGAGCCTCCATGTCAACAGTGGCCTGAGCTGCACTCGCTCACCTCTTTTAGCTCAGCACTGTAGGGTATAAGAACAGTGGTCACTGGAGGGTTTTTTTTCTTCTTTTTTACTGCTGGCTGTTCTCAGAGCAAAAAATACCTCCTTACTAGCATGGTGGTAATTCAGGCATACATATTACCACAAGACACAAAATGTTTTGCTCCACTTCCAGCTTGACAAATGGTGCAAAGCTGGCCTCGTCCATGTCCTTTCTACTCCACTCAGCTTGATTCAAATCTCGCTTCACAGCTCAGTCTACAATTGTAAGATGTTTTTAAAGTGTGACTCAAATAATACAATTTGTGTACTTGTAATTAAGAATTTGAAGGACTGTAGCTGTTCTTTTTTATTTGTAAAAAAAAAATCTACAGTTACAAAACTAAAGGCTTTTTCTCTCTGACTTCAAAATTACAGTTGCAAGGCACAAATACTTCTGCATCAAGAATACTTCTGTACTACACAAAGTAGCACATATCTGTGAAATGAAAGATAAATGATTTTTGTTGCGTTTTTGCTAATTAAATCTGACGTGTGACATATTCATTCTGTCTGAATCAATATTTTGTAAAATAACTACCTTTCTCTGACATTTGTTCTATCAGCTTATCATAAGACTACCAATTTTGGAGATGGCATCAGGCAACATCAGTTGTATTGAATTTTATTTGATTTAAAAAGGGTCAAATAGAAATGGAAAACGATGTTCAGAAATTGATTCAAAGGAAAAAATCCAAACAAGTAATTTTCTTTCTCCTTTGCAATTTCTCCTCAACTTGGTTTTGATGACATAGATACAAAATAAAACACTTTTTTTTATTGTAATATCCCAAAACGTGAAAAAGTTAACAGCTATAGATACTTGGAACTGTGTTACTACGCAATTGCAAATCAAATATTAAAAATCTAATTCAATTTCTTTCAGTTCTTTTGTAGATGAATAAGTGATGAAAGGCCTAATTTGTCACAAAACAAATCTGAATTAATTGCCTGTTCCACAAATGTATTCATATTTAAACTAGAAAAGGAAAATGAGGAGTTTATAAGTGACATTTTCTTCTATACCTTGTCAAGTTTAGTTAAGGTCTCTTCTGTTCCTTCTTGGCAGGCTTTAGGAGAGTGGGGACTTCCCTTGCTGTGCAAATCCAACATTTCATTATCTGGGGATATCTTCAACTCACTCTGAAGTGAAAAGAAAAAAAACAAAGACTCTTCATAATTTATTAAATTCTTTGAGGTCTTTAACTCGTGCTTCATGAATAAATCAGAACTGTGAAACTCCTTGTCTCTGGATACCATGTCATATCAGCTTTCAAAACATAAAACTTACAATGTGACAAGGCTGTGAAAATTCAAGTTCAGTTTTACTTTGGCAAAAGAAAGAAATGTCTCTAAACAATACCACAATATTTCAGATATGGCAATTATACCAATGTTTTTTTTTTTTTTTTTTCTATTGGCTCTCTACAGTGTAATTTACTTGTTAGATTAATGAGTAAGTGTCAGAAAAACCCTCTCCAGCTCAGGATATCCAAGCAAATTTTTGACTCTGTCAGTGACATTCGCAGGGGGACATATAATAATATATACATACAAATCTGAATACCTCATCGTCAGCTCTCTGTGCCGAACTGTCATAATAATCTGCTTTCTTCTTGAGCAAAGCATACTTTGGCATAAATTCTGCAGACAGAAAAAATACTAAGCATCATTAAAAATGTACACTCATTTACCAAATAAGATTTCTAAAGCAAAGAATTAAAGGAAAATTTACTGAGGTCCTCATTTCTGCTGCTTGTTTGTGTGGCAACGTTGATTCTGGTGACAATCCTCCCATCATGTGTGTGGATTGTGAGAATGTCTGGAGAGGTTTCCCTGGAACCAGTTCTTTGTTATCACACATTTTTCAGTTCAACAACATTCAAAGCATAACTCAAGCACCCATTCAATAAAATGCAGCTGTCTGTTCTGTAGTTTCAGTTATATATATATATATATATATATATATATATATATATATATATATATATATATATATATATATATATATATATATATATATATATATATATATATATATATATATATATATATATATATATATATATATATATATATATATATATATATATATAGGTAATTTCACCATATCAGTCGTCATCATATTTGAAGAGAAAATAAGGAAACTTGCAAGGCTGAAAACATCATCCAAATTGCACAGTAAGGGAATTCTTCCAAAGTGACAGACCCTAAGAATCCCACAAAGCATCTTAAAAAGCAGCTCAAAACCCCAAAAGTAATTGTTTTGAGCTGTCACAAAGTCCTCATCTTAATCTTAAAGAAATTGTTTGGCCAGCGTTGAATAAAGTGAGTGGGAATGACGTCCTGCATACCTGACTCTGTTAAAGACAAGTTCTGTCAAGATAATTGAGCTGAAATTCCAGCAAGTTATTTAAGAGGTTTAAAGTTATTCAAAAATGTTTGACACAGCACATAGTGCAGTTCAAAATGAAATTTTCCCAAACATTAGGTCAATATATGTAAACTTCTAAATGTGAAGAGCTTTTAAAAAGTTCCAAAATATTTCATGCTTTTCGGACGCCTATTCTTATCATAACTCATGCCAAACAGGGAAGGTTTAGCCAAATTAATGTGAGACTGAGCAAAATATGCTTATGGCGTCTCTTTAAAGAGTGTATGCGAACATCTCTTTTAGCGAGTCATATGCAATAGATAACATAACATGCAACTCTTGCTTCATTAAATAAGTAAATCGATTCAAATCAAGCCTCGTTATATGTCGTCCGACCTGCTCGAGTTTGGCTCCATATTAACTCTCGTGCATTAACTCTAGATTTGGGTCAGTTCTCTCCAGTCGTCTGTTTGTTTACAGATCCAGGGTTTGTTTTTGTCTCCATCTCAGTTGATTTGCCTGGCGAGCCGGGTGTTTGCATCATGTCTGTGATAGTCTTGACTCATTGTGAAGCAGGGGTGAGCAGAGAAACCACAAAAAGTTGCATCAGGCACAATACGGTCAAATAAAAACAGCCTGTTTTGCCCCCTAGTGTAACTTAGCAACCAGAGAACAATAACGGAGCTGAGTGAGGGTGTGTGTGTGTGTGTGTGTGTGTGGGTGTGTGGGTGTGTGTGTGTGTGTAGCAGACACAGAGAGAAATACACACAAAGGTTCCTTAAAGTAGACTTCTTTTACCTGAAATCTCCTCATCCTGTTGTGGATTACCTTTGGACCAGTGGTGCACTGAAGCTTCATGTAGGTATATAAACATTTTGAATAAAATTACTGTATATTCAGTTCTTTGAAGGATTTACATTTTACTGCTCTTTATTTTCGGTTGGGCTCAAGTTTCTGCCATTGGTAGAGGTCCACCTCAAATTCATATAACTGTAACAACAAAAATGTCGTAAATCAGGAAAACATTATTGGTTGTTCGGGTAGATGGTTGTGTTATTTAATGTCTAAAACATTAATTAACCCTGGAACCCAGCCGAAAAGAGGTAAAATTACCAGGGTGGCGGATAAAAAATTCAGCTCCTCTAAAGTGGATCATGTCAACTCTGAAACTCTCACGGCTGTCAATGAAATATTTAGTAAAACAATCGTTTTTCTCTTCAGAGTTTCTTAATTTAACTTTGAAAAGTGTCTAAATAAGAATAGCAATCTGTCCCCAAAAGTGTGTAAAACAATTTAAGAGGTGTATAAAGTGTGTGTGGGTTTATATAAATAGCATTAGCCCAAGAAAGCTTCAAAAGGATTTAAAAAAATAACTGTTTGCGATTTAATGGAGAGTCTTAAAGACTGTGCCTTTCATGTATTTTTCTCTTGGCAAAGAGGTCGTGCAACTGAGAAAAAAAAAAAAACACATCCTAATTAAATTCTAGCTTTTTTGAGATGGATTTAATTTTTCAGAATCATTTTCATTTGGACTTCATCTTTGTTTAATAAATAATGATATGGTGTGTGGTTTTTGTACACTTGGAGTTAGAATGTTAAACATGCACATCCTTGAACTTGTCAAGACTGTCCTTTTTTTAACCATTACTGTATATGCCAACCATCAGTATTTGAGTAAGCTTAATTATTTAAAGACTCTGGGAAGAACACTAATTACCTATCTTTCAGTGAGTGATGTAAAATATTAATTTGCAAAAGCCAGTTATGTTTCATCAAACTAGTTCTGCAATAATTAAATGAGATACAACTCATATTTAGCTTCTTTCCATCTTAAATTGCTTTTTTTAATCAGGTACTTCATTTTTTTTTTAACACAGTTATTAATTCAAGAGTGTTTTTATCTTTCTTTTTTGTAAATTAGTTTTTCACTTTAGCCTTATTAATAGATATTACTTATCATCATAGTCTGACCAATAACAAGGCAACTAAAACATAATACAGTGAAACAAATGTTCGCAGTGACTTCAGGCAAATTAAAAGTGCACTACTATTAATTTAAGGCTGATCTTCTAAAATCTCAATCAGTGTAAATTTACTGAATCTTTAGTGAAAATATAATTACAAATTGAGACGAAAAAACAGGTGTGTTGAAACCCAGGATGTGCCTGTTTTATAAAATTATATGATGTTAATAATATTTTTAGTCATCAAAAGAATCTCTTTGTTTTCATTTTGTTCTATGAAAAAAAATACAGACATTGTTGGCATCGCCAAAAACAAAGTCAAACATAGCAATGAAGAAAAGGGATATTAAACTTTTGGGTTATTAAGCAAAGAAAATGGAAAAACAATTTCTCATTATGGTTATAATTACGCTGATAAATTGCAACAGATTGAACACAGTAAAAAGCAGCTGACAACTGGTTATGACAGGTTTTTACAGTTGTCTCATGTAAGGAGATCGCTTGTTCAGTTTGTGTCTTACATTGTTTTTTTCTCTAAACATGTGAATTGTTGTTTTGAAACTGGGCTGTAATCTAAATTGAAACTCACCTGACTCCAGTTAAGACTTGCTTGCATATTAAGCCATAATGTCGTCAATTTGAGCAACTGCACGGTGGAACATGTTACAGAAATAAATATGCATCATTTTACATCAGAAAATCAATGTTTACTGCAAGTAGTTTGATGCTTGTCAACTTGTGAATTACGTGAATTTTGTCAGCAGTTTTCTTTTGTCTAGATGTGGTAGAAATGAGCATTACTTAATAAATTGATAGCTGAAATTAATTGGGAAAATTATTTCCTACCATACATACATATAGTATGGTATATATGGTATTTACATATTATACACTAAGTTGTAAATGTCTTGTTTTAACTTAACTATTATGTTAAACAAAATGAGATGTCATGTCAAAATAGTAAGTCTCATCCAGAAAGCAGAATGTAGATGGGCAGATATTAAATTAAAAACAACTGCTTTTTCATTTATAAAACAGACAAAAATATTTAGTTTTTTTTAAATAACTAAAAAATGATTTTTAAACATATTAAATTGATTAATACTTAAATAGTAGATAATTTTTGTATTTGAGTGAGTGGTGACGTTTTTGCTTTTGTCGCTACTGAGAAAAACCACAACACAAGATCCTCAAAAGATTGTACATATTGGAATTATGTAAACTCTAGTACTGTCACAAATCATAAACCGGGTTTAGTATTGCTCTTTTAATTTTCATTGGGCTGTGTGTTTTCGAGTGTCTTCCTTTGTTCCACTTGCTTGGTAAGCTGTTCCAGCCGGGTGATGAAACGGAAATGTGGCTTTATGTTCTGCATGTTTGCCAACGGGTGGGACATGCAGATTTGCATCTGGTCAAGCAGACAATAAATCTTTGTCTTCTGTAATTGGATGTCTCTCTCCAAAATGCTTAGGCCTGGCTCACCATGGCTTTCTGGGCAAATGAACTGTATTTAAGATAAAAAAATAAAAAGAAGAAAAAAAACTTTTTTTTAATGCACTGTTTTTTCATCAGTAAGCCATGACTGCGGTGCCTTCATCACACATTTTACAGAGAAGGAAACACCTTATCAAAACATGTACGATGTGTTTTGCATCTGTGCTGACTCACCTTAAGCTCTGAGCCAACGCTGAAACGCACATGGTTGTCCTTGTGGAAGAAGCTAACATACACATGCTTTTGCGAATGTATGTGGATACAGATGCATGGCCCCATGCCGAAGATGAGGGGCTTGAATGGAAGGTCGTGCACATGTGGGTCAAAATACAACCAATTCCAGCGCCTCCTCAAATTGCCCGTCTCATCGAAGCAGAAACCTCCATAAGAAGTTATGTTCAGCCTTTAAAAAACATGTAAAAGAAAAATAAGAACAAAAAAAAAAGCAGAGTATCTCTCAAATATGTTACGATCAACCAAATGCTAAAACAAATATTCGTAACAATTATAGTTTTACTCTGAAGTTCAGCATAAATATCACAATTTCAATGATTATGTCAGTCATTCTTTTATCGTAAGAACTGGACACATAGGCTCACATAAATTCCTACATCCCTATTAATATTTGAGTAACTTCTCGATTGATCGCTTAGCAATATAAACATTGCACTTGAAACACTACTTGTAGCAACAGTTTTAATTATACAAATCAAATTAGCAGCACACAAAGAATTGAGACAAATACGTCTGAATAATCAAAATGTGAGACCAGCACCAAACCGCTTCTTTGGAAAAGTCAGAAAAATCCAAAGCTAAACACTAAAGAAACATCTGAGGATTACTGACAGTGAATCAAGTAGGGTTTGGGGTTTTAAAAGTAACCAATTATCTGGGTATATCCTTTCATGATCAATAAGTACTTATTATTAAATGATATCTTGACTTTTACCTCCCTAACCTCATTATCAACATAATACTGACGGTTCCCATGAATGACCTCTCAGTGATTTAAAAGAATAAAAATATAAAAAGTCATTCCCTCAGATTTGAAAGAATAACGGAACGGTACATCAACCATAACCCATTAAAGATGTAAAGATTTATTTTGCCACATTTTCTTTTTCTATTTACCTGCAGTTGTTCTGGAACAGATTGTTTGTTAACATGTAAAGATACCACAGCAAAAGTTGGCAGCAAAGCCCATTTTGGAAGTTATGTAGAAATTAATTTATGTTTCAAAATAATTCATCAAGAAACAGTTACCACAACAATCCATCGGGACGGTAGCACGTAGCGCAGCCTTTAGGTGTGAAAATGCCTAGCAAGTGCCGGTTCTTGACCTTGTCCTCTAGGATTATGTAAATGAAGTGAGAATCTTCTGCTGGGATTATGACGATGGCTGGATTCCCAGAAGGATAACTTTTTTTTTCTATTAAGAACCATTAACACAGTGCAAACTCTTTCTCATAGGTAATTTATCTCATTTTCTTCTTTGATGTTTGGTGTTTTTTTTTTTCACTGGAATGCAAAGGATACAAAACAGTACCTGATCCATCAAGATACTTGATCAGAAAAATATTCCCATCTTTGTAGAATTTCTGTAATACACCGGTTGTCTGCAACATAATACACAGTTTTAGATATCCCTAAATATATGACAATATGACAATCAAAATTTGTATTTTGTCTTTTCCCTCACTTTATTAATTTTTTTTACAATTTCATTTTTGATTACTGTTTTGGAAAGACTTGAGCTGTAGCACACATACAATATACATACCCTTGGTTCATCACCTGGCTCTTCTGGCGACCTTGATACTTCAAAAGCCGATGGAGTTTTCTCTGGAGAACCAGGAATGTCAGATCTTACTTCCTTTGGTAATGCTGAATAGCCTGAGCAACAAAAAGGGAACATTGATTCATTGTATCGCTTCAATTAGAGGTTTAGTATGCAACGTGCTTCACAGAATCTTGTTGGCTTCTTCTAGTTTAATTGTATACCTGGAGTCTCATATCGTCTTTTTTTCTCGCGCCGCACATATTTCATCCTATTTTAGAAAATCCAGATAGTTTAAACAACAAACATAACAATGCAATATAAGAAACCACTACATAGTATAAAACATAACAGCAACCACTGCATAGTGGTGGTAAAAGATTGACCATCACTTGATGGCCTTTTTAATGTTTTGTGGTAGATCGACACATAGTAATGCATAGTAGTTGAAACAAAGGAATAGGATACACAATTTTGCTATTTAAAAACATATGAGACTGGATTGGCAAGCTCTGGTACATATCCTTTACTAGATTTAGATCTAGACTTTGGCCCATTTAAACATATAATTGTGTTTTGATGAAAACTATCCTAATTCAATGCTATAAGTATAAAATCATTGTCCTGTTGGAAATTGAATCTCTGGTGCCTGTCTCAAGTTTTTGAGTTTTTCTTCCAGGACTGCCCAGCCATTGAATTGCAGAATAAAGAGAGTACTGGACCACTGACCATCCTTCTTCTTCAGTCTCCCACTCTTGTCTGTTAATAGACATAGAAGTGTCCAGCTCATCCGCTGTACCAGTGTATTTCCGTTCCAGTCTCTCCTTTTCCTTTTTCAAGACTTCTTCAAATTCTTTAGCTGCCTCATGATAGACGTCCTGGATAAAACAATTTCAACAGATTTTTTTCCCTCATTTTTCACTGCTGGTGCTACTCACCAGTGAACCTTGTCAAACCACAAATGAGATGATCCTGTCATTTTGTAAAGGTTATCTGTGGTGTAATCATTTCTAATGAATTTATGTAAAGTAAAACATACTCACTCTGTCTGAGAGGACTTCCTGTTTCAGTGCTCTGATGAATGACAGGCGCTGATAACGTTGATAAAGCTGATTACGCTGCTGGCAGTACTGACAAAGAGTTTTGCTAGGAGGTTTTTTAGGGAGAACTTTCTTCTTCCTATACTTAATGCCCGGAATCTCCAGCTAGAAGAACAGATTCACAATCACCTTTCACCTCATAGCCTCCACACTATTACTGAGGGAAAACAACAACGACAAAAAAGGACTGTAACTGTTTTTTTCTAAGCACTAAATTTGCTTGGCACCACCTGCAAAACACGAGGAGGGAATTTTGGCTCTCGTCTGCATGTTATGACACGAGGGAGTCCCAGATGAATTCTATCAAACTCCTTCTCTCCTGCATCCTAATGTGAAAAAAAAATCTTCAGCAAAAAAAAATCACACACCAATTGCTGATCAAAAATTAAAAATAATCTGAATCAGTGATGTCCAAATGTTGTGAAACATGGGCCACGATCAACAACTTGAGAGTGATCAATAAGAGGCTGTAAGAATTTTCAATACCTAAAATTGCCAATTTTTTTTTTATTTTCAATTACCTTTATTTTTACCCACTCAATATGTGATATTTAAATCCAATGAAGCAATCAGTCTGATGTTAATATAAAAAGTTATTTGTAGGTCATTGTAGAGCCAAAAACCTAAAAACATTTCCTGCCATTTGCATTATGAAAACACATTTCCAACATGTTTTCTTGCTTTATGTGTTTTGCTTGATGCGTAAGTTTAATAGACAACTCTGCTGAAGCCTGCTTTTGAGTAAAAATTGTTGAGTGTGGGTCTGCTAATTGTTGAACAAAACATAATGCCAGCAATTTGGTGATTAAACAATATGCAACTCAGACATTGTGTATCTCGTTAACTGCATAAATACAAAAAAAAAAAAATACAGATTAATCTCAAAATACAGAAAGTTGCATACCGATCTTATTTATTCATCCATGTTTATTTGAACAAAGACATACATTTTTGCTTGACTTGTTTACATAACCGCAATGTCTTTTGATTTGAGCAGCCTACCTCCAAATACACCACGACAGCGTCCTTTAACACTTCTTCTTGCCACATCTGGATACTCCCTGTTTTCCTTCGAACTGCACCACGGAGAAATAATTAGGAATCTGACAGATGTCGATAAGTCATGGGAGGCAAAAACGGGGGTAGGAACAGGTGACCCATTCTCACCAAAACTGATGACACAGCTTACCTCGACAGCTGCAAGAGAGGGACTGCTCCACCTTCTCCCAATCTGTCTGCGTTTCAGTGCTCACCAGAGTAATAAATCTTCCATCCAGTGAGCAGACCTCCATGAAATGTGGTGAGTCTGGGCTGCTTGGAGGAACAGAGGGATAAGATTCAGCTACAGTTTCATTCAACTGTCTGAAATACTTCTGAAACAACATGTCAGCACGCAAAGTACACCTTTTGCTGATGCCGATCAGCAAAAGGTGGTTAGCAGGACCACCTTTTGCAAAATGTTGCAAAATCTTCTGAAATGAAGATGCAATTAATTAACTAGATATTTAACTAGACAGTGTGATGTTACTTCCTTCACACTGATGTGTCAGAGGCCCACTTGTGAAATGTTGGGACACAAATAAATAAATAAAAATATGAAGTATTATTAGTTTTCAATGAGTAATACAAACTCTATAATGTGGGATTAGAGTATTTGTTTATTAAACTCTTAGCTACTATAGTTGATCTCAACAAAGTTCCAATGGTTTAGTAAAGAGGTATGAAACAATTTGAGGTCAAATCAAACATTTGCAAAATTGTATCTGCTTTTTTTTACCAATAGATGGTTAATTTGTTCTTTTTTTATTTTTATTTGAAAACCTAAACCTCTATATAACACTATACATGGACTGAGATTCTGATCCTTGTGTGCACCTTTCTCTTTAACATAAAATATTATAATTGTTGATCTAACCAATGTGCAAGCTAATTTTATTCATTGGGATCAGTCAGCCTCCTTTAAATTTAAAATTAGATAAATAAAGTGTTAAAACATTGGCTGCCAAAGAAGGCACGTATGACCTGTTCCACCATTGGTAAATACACATACCCAATAAAAAAATAAATCCTAAAAAGCCTGTTTGAACAGGTATAAAGCAGGAAATGACTACCAGAGAACAAAGAAAGGCCTTTAGTCCAGATAAAGAATGGTGGGTGACTAAAGCGCTGGTAAAGGACTATTCACAACTTGGAACACAGGTGTGGGCAAAAAAAAAAAAAAAAAAAAAAAAAAAAAATCTGACATTTAATCCTGTATCTAGTGCTACATCCAACTGCCATCATCAGCTGGCTGGACGCTCAAGGTCGTTTTAAAAACTCCTGCTGGCTTTCCCCAATGAGTGGCTATTACAATAATATTGTTCAGTCTAATATCTAGTTGTAAAACGCTTGCTTTACTAAAGTATTTATTTTATTCCTGAGAAAATTTATTTCACTGATTAAAATTAGAAATTAAACATATTAGCTTTATTTAAATGTAAGGTCTTATCTGAACTCTGCAGATTATATTTGAATAATATGCCTATATTCATTCCTTGTAGAAATGTGCTACACATGTTTGAACCAAACGGACTTTGGTTTTACTTATTATTATTTATTTATTTATTTATTTATTTATTTATTTATTTATTTATTTAATTTTACTATAGAACAATTTTTACTACAAAAGCTGAAGAATAATACAGATTTCAGAAATATATGGCTGAAAAACAAACTACGGCTGCGTTTTGTTTTTTGTTGTTTTGTTTTGTTTTTTTGTTTGTTTTTCTTTGCCGCTCTCTGAGCTTCACGCTGTAGCGGTTGCTAGGCAACAGGAGTGAAGCTGCGGTGGAAGCTAAGCTAGACAGCTAGCTGGAGGCTAGCCCTGTCCGAATGCACAGTGTTTCTCTTCCGGTCGTCATTTCTTCTCGCCTTTCGACGCGTCCTTCGAAGGACGCAGACCCAGCCAATCACCGCCAAAGAAAAACAAATGACGCTCCCGGATTGGTTAGCCATTAGCATGCCACGTAGCATTGCTCTTACGTATTATGCCCCATTTTCTTTCGAATATTTTCGATCATATTCGTAAACGATTTTAGATATGCTGAATGAAATAAAAATAAAAAAGCGATTCATAAATACTTTGGTGTCACATTCTAAAGAAAAATCTGTGAATAGGTGAATATACAAACCTCGTATTATTATTTTGTCTTTACACATTTCCATTTGCTAAAATAGTTTGTTTGTCCTGAAAATAAATTTTTACTGTAACACTTACTAAAAAGTTTGAAAATTTAATTCCAGGACACATCTTCAACTTATGGTCTAATTTTACTGACAGGGCACACATTTCCTTTTGCACTGTACCATATGTCCAATTAGTATTTTTATTGTTAAAATTTGTTAGTTCAGCCAGTTCAGCCATAAATTATTTATAACTTGGATAGTTAGATTTAAAACTATCTAAATTCCGCCAATAAGTTTGTTGTTTTATGGTAAAGGAGACGGTCATCTCTCAAAAGATTAAGAAAACTGTAGATTAAAGTATTAATTTTAAGATAACATGTTTTTTTTGTGATGCATATCCTTTTGAAAAACCTGTGGAAATAATCATTCTTGGCATTCCAACAATCAAACTTGTTAAAATGGCTGAGAAGGTTTTTTTTTTGTTTTGTTTTGTTTTATATCTCCCCATTGGTATTTTTGTGATACTTCTTCATGATAATGAGCTCAGGTTTTTGATTCTAGAAGGCCCCTTCTGATTTCCTTAATTTTTAGCTGTAACTATGGGTCACATTTTGTGAGTTGACTGACGCAAACTGGGATCAGAAACACAGTTAATAGAAATAAGGCCATAATTTGAAATCTAAATTTAATTATCCAAGAAATTTCAGTATTTGAAGAACATTTGTATCCATAATTCACTGAAATAATGCTTAAGATTACAAGTATGCAACATAAGTGATGTGAAGAATTGGGATCATGTGTCATTGGAGAAAGGGTATCTAAAGCCATTCTTACACTATGCAAGACAATTTGAATGCATTTGTGTCTTTATAACTTTTAAGGATTTGAAAATAAAAAAGAGCGGTTTTAAACAGGATAAAAAAAAATCTGATGGTGTTTAACAATAGCTATAGGAAACGATACATAAAACCTTCAATGAGCAAAAGAGAAAAAAAGAAAATAAACATTTCAATAGTGCTACTTTCTTACAGTTTCTCTTCTAACAACAATGTACTCGAATCTTCTGGTTCTCTCGAGTGACCTACCCGCCAAAGAAACAGAAAATTAGATTCATATACAGCATAAAGACAGTCTGACTCCATACATTTGTCATATTTTTTTTTCCATTTTCCGACTCACTTTCTTCAATCTGCTCCTCGGAAGAAATGCCAGCACGTACATTCTCAAGGTCATTTGTCAGCGGCGAAGCACAGATCTGAGCTTCTGAAAGGGAGCTGGAGTAGTTGTCGGGTACGTTATTAACAATGGGGCCTCTCTTGTCGTCACATGTCTCATGCTCCTCCAGGCTCTCCAAGTTGTCATAAAGCTGTCGAGAGGAGAAGTCACCTTCTCTGGGACTCTCTGGAGAGGAAGAGGCAGCTTCTTCCTGGGACGGAGACAGACTCATGTTTTCAAAACGTGATATGTCAAACGAAGCAGAGTCTCCAGAGAAAGCTGACTGAACACAGTACAGTTCCGATCCCTCACCCTATTTGTTTTTGTTCAAGCGCTGTTGCCTGGCAGTATCCGTGCATCAAGATCATCAAAAATGTCACATAGTTTCAAAAGATTATTTCCCCTTTCTGTTCTCAACTTTAATCTACAACGACTTGAAAGAGTGTGTGGAATGCTTTGTAGCTTGAGGACAGATTTCTCACAAGGTTGAAATACACATTTTGGAGCACTTTGTGAAAATTAAATAACTTTATTTCAGCGTGCATTGGACACCAAGTTTTGCAAAAAGTAAGATGGAGAAACTGTACAATTATATTCCCATTGCAAACCGAAATGATCTCACTCCTGGATAACAGACAGTACATTTCACCACCACCCTTTCATTCACAATGATGCATCGAGGGGAGTAATTACAGTCACTACTGACAGATAGATGAGTAATGCTGACAACAATACTTTAGTCTATAAAACCCTGATTTCTCTCAGTTGGATATGAACGTTTATAACAGGCACAGCAACAGAGCGCTGTCTTTTGTGTTAAATATAAAGTCTATTTTTTCTTAAGGTTTTACAGCGACTTGCTTCACACAGAGTGTGTACAACTGAAGGTAGGCTGAAATAATTCACTGTATCATGCTATTCCAGCTCCGTTTGATCATTTCTTTCTGCCTTTTGATCAGAAAATGAAATTAATCCTTTTTCATTACCTCAATGGCTTTGCTGCAAATCTAAAGGCAATATATGCTAATTATTGCATTTTTCTCTTTTTTTAGCCCAGATTTAACAAAAATCCCTTCAGGGTTTTATTAAGGAAATCAGAAACAATGAGGACCGTGACTCTCCTTGTGTGTTTTGGAAATATATTTGTAGCATTACAGGCCAGTGATCAGCATTCAGCATTCCCTGTAATCACGCCGTATGAAACAGCTTCCCCTGGTCTTTCGGCACTGGAAAGACAGCAATCCAACATCTCGGTTCTTCCAACCCGAGCAACGGGAGAAAAAAAAGCACTGCCCCCCATGTGCTTAGAGTCTGCTGGAATCAGAGATGCCTTCAAATATGTCAACATTATGGTCTCTGTGGTGGTGTTTGTTGTTGGAATAGTGGGGAATTCTGCTCTTTTGAAAGTCATATATGCAAACAAAACCATGAGAAGTGGACCTAACATTATCATTGCGAGCCTTGCTGTGGGGGATCTGATCCACATTGTGATAGACATTCCAATCAACTCATACAGGGTGAGTTATTTGCCATATGCTGTGTAATAACATTAAAAAAAACACATTGCACCCTGTGCTGCTTTTCTGCATTCTGTTCTGTTTTAAGACTTCAATCCTGATATTCTTCTTGTTTCTCTTAACCGAATTGTCTCTGTTGCAGCTCCTGGCGGAGGATTGGCCATTCGGTTTAATAATATGCAAACTTGTCCCCTTCATCCAAAAAACTTCTGTTGGGATTACTGTGTTGAGCTTATGTGCCTTGAGTGTTGACAGGTAGGGAGATAAGCTGCGCTGTTTTGTCGCCTCCATGAGAATAGTGTTTTGAGGCTACAATCTGTATTTCATCAAGCAGACACATTTTGTTCAGTTGTAGTCCTTGAAATGCTCTTCAGCTAGAAAAAATTGAAATAAGAAAAATAAATTGTTCATTGCTGCAGACAAAAAGTTCCCCAAGCCATGACATTTTCTCATTGATTTTGCAGATACCGCGCTGTTGTATCCTGGAATCAAATCAAAGGCATCTGGGTTTCTGTGCGGACAACGATTGAAATAACCCTGATATGGGTTTTTTCCATCCTGCTGGCTGTCCCTGAAATTGTTGGCTTTGATATGATAACAATGGACTATAAAGAGAAGCATCTGAGGATATGTCTGCTTCACCCCATCCAAACCACACAGTTCATGCAGGTAATGTTGTGCTGTTAATGTTGTGCACAAAATAAACAGAAGATTTCAAATTTTGCCAAATGCAAGCCTTGAAATGTCAAGTATGCTTTTATTGATGTTCCCATTGACCTATAACTTCGTACATCAGTATTGTACTATTGGTACTACCCCACTGCCACAGACAATGACGGTTTTTCTGCCATGTATCTTGTTTAATTTACAGTTCTATAAATCTATAAAGGACTGGTGGCTCTTTGGCTTTTACTTTTGCATGCCACTAACCTGGACTGCAATTTTCTACACGCTGATGACCAGGAAGATGTTGAGAAACACAGAGAATACATTGAGTGACCACATTAAACAGGTTATAAGATTATCCTCTAGCTTCAATCTCACTTTGTAACATATAACAGTATCCATTTTAATTTGAATGTATATTAAATCTTTCCTTTCAAAGAGACGAGAAGTCGCCAAAACTGTCTTCTGCCTGGTTACTGTGTTTGCGCTGTGCTGGTTACCCCTGTACCTCAGCAGAATCCTGAAATGGACCATCTATGATGAGAAGGATCCTAACAGGTGCCAGTTACTTAGGTGAGCATTGTCATTACTTTTTTTGAAACTTAAATTACAATGGAATAACTCACTAAAGTATTCATAACCTATAAAATGTGTCACATTTTGTCACACAACCACAGAACTAAAGGTGAAAATAATTAAATATATACATTTATATGATAGGACAACACTAAGTAGTGCCTAATTTTGAAGTGGAAGGAAAATGATCATTTGTTTTCAAAATATGTTACAGATAAAAATCTGAAAGGTGCTGCAAACGTTCATATGCAATGTTTCCATTAGAGCTGTGACTCACTGCTTTGGATATTTAGACAGAATTTTTTGCCCAACATTCTGTGCTCAGTCTTAGACACAGATTTAAAGCATACCCATGGCATGATGTTATTGAAAGAAACGGTATCATGAAGACCAAGGATCACTGCAAACAAGTTGGAACAAACTTGTAATAAGGCTGTAATGAAGTTTAATCGAGAATAGGTCAAAAAATGACATCCTGAGGTTCAAACAATTCTTAGAGTAATGTTCAATCCATTATTTGATGAAGTAAAAGATATAGCATAGCTGCAAACCCACCAAAACATGACTAAACTGAGAGGCCAACCAAGGACTGTACTTATCCGAGGAAGAGCCAGGAAACCCATGATATCCCTTAAAGAGCTGCTGAAAAAAAAAAAAAAAAGCATATTAAAACTGTTGTTAAAAATGCACATAAACAAGAGTTTCTACTTGACAGCAGAGAAAATAGAAACAAAGCTTTAAAGCAAACATTGCTACAAATAAAGCAGGTCGGAGAAAATATCTGAGCTTTTCTACGACGTCAAAACATTTACACCAAATGTTTGTCTACAGTTCAATTGCAAGAGGAAAGTGTTTTGATTCCCCAAAAACACTTTCACACTAAATTTTTGATATTTAAAACAACCTATTTTTTTTTCTTTCATGTCTGCTCTGTAAGTTGTTGTTTATCCTGCGCAATTTCAATAAATATTGTTTAGTTTGTGACGATAGTATGAAAACCTACGGAGCAGTTTAAAATGATATAAAATGAAATTCTTATGCAAGGTACTGCAGGTCATTTTCCTAAAGTAAGCATTCCATTCCAGCGCCTTCCTCATCCTTGACTATTTCGGCATTAACATGGCTTCTCTGAACTCCTGCATCAACCCTATTGCATTGTACATCGTCAGCAAAAGATTCAAGAGATGTTTTAAGGTGAGTGTTGCCACGGTTCAGACAAGTCTTCTTTACGTTAAGAACATTGCAAGTGTCTGTTGAATGAGCTATATGTGAGTGTGTGTGTGTGTGTGTGTGTGTGTGTGTGTGTGTGTGTGTGTGTGTGTGTGTGTGTGTGTGTGTGTGTGTGTGTGTGTGTGTGTATGTGAGACATCGTAATGGAGTCATGTCTGTAAAGACTGCTGCTAGACTGCACACCTCAGGGGGTAATAAGTGAAAATGACCTGGAAAAACATTATCAGGGAAAAAAAAAAAAAAAAAACGTCACTTGGCAATCTACCAGATAGTCTGTGAATCAAACTGACGTGCTATGAAGAAGAAAATGTGACTTGCAGGCATTTTTTGAAGAGGAGCCATTTAAAGCTCTTTATTGTACTACTAGCACATAGGAAGATATTGGAAATATTCACAGATTCATTTTGACTGGTTACCACAACAGTTATCTATTTTTTTTTTTATTTTTTGTTTGCTACACTGCTAGTATCATACAATAAATAAATAAATAAAACATATCCATTTTATTATAATATCTGCCTCTTTAAACTAATTCAGTCTTGTTTTGTGGATCATCAGTTCTAGGCAGGAGTAAGATGTTCTCCCTGTGATGTTGACGTGTGCTAGCTGAATTTTTATTTTTTTTTCCATGTGGTCCTCCAGGCATGTCTGTGCAGTCTGTGTTTGCCTCTTCAAGCCCGTGCCAGCGATGAAGCACAGTCTGTTTTGAAGTCCAGAATGCAGGATCAAGCCTCAGAGCAAAGCAGCAACATCAAAGCTCACAAGGAGCCTCCACCTGTTAACACCTTACTGTGTTAACAAAAGTCCTGTGGAACCGTGAAAATACTTTTTGATCTAGTCTATCGTTCTTCAATAAATAAGTATGGCGTTCAAAACAAATACCAAACCGGGGCCTCCTGTCTGCAGCTCGACAGCCTCCGACATGCCAATCCATAAACGCAAGGAGCCTCTGAATAACACGGGGCACTGTCTTTTGTAATGCTGTCGTCAGCTGAACATCTGCTTTGGCGTGAGCAACCTGGAGTGAGACTGTTCACACTATTATTTGCCCCTGAGGCCTGACTCGCTTCCAACCATTACGTCAGGCTTCACCTTGTACCTTTCCTGTATCATGCATCACACTCCTTAAATCACTGTTTTGGATGCAGTGTCAACTTGGCAGCCATCAACATGTATCCTGTCACAGCTTAAGGCTTACATGCATGAATAATAATATTCATTATATATAATAATGTAATATTATATTTTATATATATATATATATATATATATATATATATATATATATATATATATATATATATATATATATATATATATATATATGTTTATGTGTACGTGAAGAGAAATGTGAATTCAATATTAAATCCGAGCGCTCTCTAATCATTTAAATGCTCCTTTCATTCCAGCTGTATGAGCTGCATGTGAAAAGTTTACCGCTGTCATTTCCTCCTTGAACCTGGAGAAAAACATATCAAATTGGTGCCACGAGTAGATTCAGTCTCTGCCGCTGAAAGAACTGATTGATGGTGGCCTATTTTTAATACATTGTTAAATGTGTAATGCATGGAGACACTTTACCAAAGACCTGAGAGTGGGGAGGAAGGAAAACGAAGATGACAGAATGAGGTCAGGAGAAGAGAGAGTGAGAGAAGGAGGGATGGAGGTGGGGGGTTGGAGGAGTTAGGGGGTCGGGGGATGGGGGGCTCGCACCTGATAGGTCTTCCTGTCACAGGACAAGGCAGGCGCAAACAGTGCGTCGCGTCCCCGAGCTTATGCTGTATCAGTCTGCGTGCAGGAATACTGATTAAAAGTTTATCACGTCTCAGTAAACTCTGCAGTTTGAATAAAAATGTGTGAATAGATGTTTGTGATGCTTACACAAAAGTGTGGCTTGTGATTTTTATTTTTTTTTTACTCAAAACTGAATCTAAGCTTCTGTTGAAGTGCCTTTTGATTAAAAATCACCATTTCAAGTCTGCAACCTTGTCTTAGTAAAAATAATTTTCCTTTTAATTCTTTATTTCTCATGAAAAAGTCATAATTAAAAAAATTAAACTGAAACTTTATATTTATATTCGATATGCCTTGTCCTATTCTGTTCATTTCTCTGCGTTGTTGCCATAGCTCATTTATTAGAGTTTAATCTCTGAGTTTATTCTCATGCTCTGTTCCTTGTATATGTGAATTTATGTCTCCCAGATTATTGCTGGACTTTTTCCCTTTGCTTTGTAGATTCTTTGAGTTGGAGTTCATCCTCCAGTAACCTCTTTTCCTCAGTTTCTCTACTTTCTTCCTACCACACTTGTTCCACTTTCCCTCTTATTAGCTTGTCTGGGTCCTTCGTCATTTTGCACACCTGCCTCAGTATTGAAAACTGCAACATGTAATTTTAATTGTCAAAAAAATGTCTTTCTTTACATATTTGTTAAGACTGTCTCTATGTAGTTTGAGACAGATGACCCATGAAAAGAAGTTCCTCTGCCTTCTCCCAGTGCTTGTTGTTCTAACAGCAGAAATACACAGCTCAGTCAGAAACAATCAATCAGGACCTAAAGGAGGGTCTTATCGCAGTCAATCAATCCTGTGTATGTGCTGCTCACCTTGTTTCCCTTCTTTCTTCCGCTCTACAGATTCTTCCAACACCTGAGCTTGTCTTAAATGCCCGGGCTAGTTGGGATGCCCACAGACAATGTTGGATAAATAGTTTTACTCTAAGTTACTTCTCTGCCATTACCACATTGAACAGCGAGTACATGTGAATGACCCACAGCGCCAAGACCTTCCTCCTGGCTCTTTGTTGGTTGTTTCTGACCAGGAGCGGTGCATTTATACAGATGGAAATGCACCGCACTGGAAGGGTATGAAGGAGCTCTATTATATATTTACTGATTTATTTATATTAACAGATTATTTGTCTCATAAAATATAGTCATAACTTAGGGACAGCTTTAACAAATATTTAAGAAGCATATTCTTTTTGAAATACTGCAGATTTAAGCTGCTGTATTTTGGTATTATGCTGTGAGAATCTCCTGCAGTCCATCTTGACATTGATAAGGGTTCTTATTTATGCAGAAACAAATGTGTGTAATTTTTCAGCTTCTGTACACTAACCATATATCACAAGCTCAAAATACTGTCTAATCTAATTTTAAGGCTACTTTCAGGATGATACTGTGAAATGCACAGCTTCTCTGTGTTAGAGGAAATGTAAGCTGGAAATCCACACATGGAAATATGCTATCATGTCCCCGGCAGAAAAGGCTCACGACTACAAGATGACATTGACACAATCAGGCTCTGGTATCCAGAGGGTGACGTCAGCGTCAACATCAGCCAGGGAGCAGGAGTCTCAGACCCTCTTTAGTAATCTCTGTACGCACAAGGCTCACATGCAGCTCCCCACGGTGCTGCCCAGGCTCCCCAGACTGTGGATTTAATTAAACAGTGTGAAATTAATTAATCAGTGGGGTGGCAGGTAAAAAAAAAAAAAAAAAAAAAGAACTTCTCACTGGAAGTGCTCACAAAACCAAGACAGGCATTTTATGCGCGGTGACAGTTATTAATTTGCTGTATGTTTTATTATAGTGTGGCTATGAAGAGATGCTGAAATTCAGAGAGATTAAAAAGCTTGGCATGGGAAAAAAGTCGTGCAAATTATCAAAATAACAGCTCCCTCCCAAAAACAAAAAAAAATCAAAGTGCAAACCTGTGTTTGATCTGTTCTATCAATTAATTAAAAAATTCACTCCTGTATTATAATGCAGTGCAAATTAGATGGAAATGAGATAAAATATTCATTTAGTTATCTGGGGAATCTGCCTGGAGGGCTTTTTAGTCTTCAGTCTGGCTCCAAAACGCTGTCCATATGGCAATTATGTACAGTAGTGTTGCAGGAGAATTGGTCTGATGCCTGGTGGCAGAGAGGAGCCTGCCTGTGACAAACTGCTGCTAGGATCTGATGTGAGTTGAGGGAGATAATGAGGCTGTTGTAAGTCTTAAGTATAGAGCCTGCCCCGGGGGTGACATATCTAAGCATGCAGGCTCCCTCATTGTTGCATTTGCTGCTGAGGATTAGAAAGACATTTACTTTCTTCTTCATAAACTTTGTCAGTACTTCCTGCAAATCTCAAAGCAACTTTTACTTTCATCTGGCAAACCTCCTGACATTGCTCTGTGAGTGAGCTGTTATGTTCTTCCCAGCAGTTTGTAGATGTGAAGTCCTCATTTGATTTTGCTTTGAGCAATCTATAACTTCATTTCAATCTACTCTGGAAAAGGATGCATAACTTCTGGGAAACCTATTTAAAGGATTTAAGTTGAAATGAAAGTCACCGTTTGATAGAGAATCTCATTGTAGTTATCTATTTGGAATGTGTTAAAGGGATAGTTATGGATTTTCAGAGTTGATGGATATATTCTCTCTTGGTCAACTCCATTTGTTGCAAATCCAGATCAGGTTGGACACAAAGGCTGAAGAGTTGGAAAGATTGGTCAGGTTTCTATCATGTAAAGGGATTATTTTAAGTGAGTTTTTCAAAAATTGTTTTCATTATTAATTCCAGACAAATATCATGTATCAACATGAAAGGTAAATAAAACCTCATAGTGGTGTAAATCTAACATCAGGTTTAAAAGGTTTAGTTGATTTTAGCAATTAAAATAGCTTGGTTGGGGAATATATATATGTGCATGTGTGTGTGTGTGCGTGTGCGTGTGTGTGGGGGTGTGTGTGTCTTTGTCACCACAATAAAGTTGAAGGAGGCAAAAGTGAAGCGGAATGAAATATCAAAAAAAAAAAGTGGTTTAAGTGAAAACATATTTCTAATCTTGCTTTGTCTTCTCTGACCTGACATCAGTAGTGTCCAAACTATTAGCCACAAAAGCCAAAACAATTAAGTTTATACATCATGTGAGCCACAAAGTGGACATAAAATTCCTAATTTATAGTTTATAGTTTTATAAAAACTCATGAATTTTTTTTTTTTTGTTATGGGAAATCAAAAAACACAAATTTTGTTGACTTCACACTGCTAAGTAGTAAACAAAACATTTTAATTAAATTTAGATTTTTGTACAAAAGTGATTTAAAAGTCATTGTAGATTTTAAATATGAAAAAAAAAGTCTTGTAGAAATTGCAGCACAATTTCTAAATTTTTGCCATTCTTACTTTGGAACGACATGGTATCTGTTTTCATGGGGAGATCAGAGGTGGAGCGTTTCCCTTTACTTGCATTTTCTGTTTGAATAATCAAAGGTTTGAAGAGGTTTCTGCCTAACATTATGTTTTGCAATAAGACCAAATGATTCAGCTTTGGTCTTTTTTGACCAGAGCACTTCCATGCTTTTACTATACCCTTTGCATGGCGTAGGACGGTTTTATCTGTGAGATGTCTGCTATGTTCCTTGGTATTCTTTATTCTTGTTATTCACTTTTAAAAAAACTGCCCTCAACTTGAATGTTCACACTAACGACTGTGAGAGTTTTGAGACTGAATGTACTTCAGTATATTAAAAGAACCCTTTGGTCTTGGTTCCTATCAGACGAGCTGGCAGCTTTCACTTCTGGGGCCAACTAATCTGGATTTATTTAAATGTCTTATTACCTTTTATCAGAAACAAACTTAAGATATCCTGAACTACCCTTTCAATATTATTTTATGATTTGGACACAATTTTCCATTACAAATGCCTAATATTCTCTCATTATCTTCTCCAAGACCACATCTTGTGTTATGATTTAAATATAACTGCCTTGCCTTATTTAGTACAAGTCTTGACATCCACTGCAGGTTGCTGCAGCACCAGCACAATAACTGTCACACACACAGAGTCTGTCCTTCGCAGAGCAGTGGTGCAAATTCCAGTACTGTGTCCAATTTACACCCACACCACAGTACAGGTTTTCTATTTAAGTGTAACAAGGACACCATGCAACCAAGTGCAATACGCGGAAAGAAAAAAAAATCCCTGCAGTGTGTGCAGAGTAATTGCCTTAATGTTTCATAACACTGACAATAATTTACTGAAGTCAGGCAGGTATATAACCAGTATTTGGAGTTTTAACTCAGCGAAATAAACAAGTCACGCCTTTTTTATTTATTTATTTTTATTTTTTTTTATGCAGCACTAGCAGGCATTTGATTAAAAACCATTTGGGACTCGCATACAAAACAGGAGGTGGGGTGTTGAGAGAAAGGGAGAGAAAGGCGAGCAAGTGACAGAAAAACTTCTGAGGGACCTGCAAATGGCAGGCAGAGTACTGGGCAGAACTGCAAGTGGTCACTCAACCATGGGATTAAAAAGCATTTAAGCCTTGTAGCAGAACAAGCCTTCATCCAGCCATGTATTTCTGAGCATTCAGGAGAAAAGAAAAGACAAATGTTCCCTAGCTTGGCTTGTTTCTGCTGGTGCAAAGCTGAGGGTAACAGGTTCTCCAGTGCCAGCATCTATAAATGTATTGCAGTGCTTTTTCACAGACAAACATAATGAGCAAGCCTAAAAGGGTTTCTGTGTTCATCGTTAGGGTGCAAAATGGACTGTCAGTACTATTTATTGCATTCATGTCTGGGTGTAATGGAAAACATGCAATCAAATGTAGGACACGTTGGCTAGAGTGGTTCACTTCTCACTCCTGTTCACACTTTTTATGCCTCTTGGGCAACAACGCTGAAATTTATGACAGTCTACTGACATATTTACACGGAGCTCTCGTGACTGCATGGCTGTGATTAGCCCTAATTCTTCCAGCAAAAGATCAATTCTCCCAAATATATCGTATTCGGTTTTAGTGGCAAGAGGATGGATAGGTGAAGAGAGCTTTCACCATCCACAACACACCCCGCCTGCCCATGTTTGTTATGATGGGCAATGATGAAAGCACGGGTGGATGCGAGAAAGCGCCCCCTCCTCTGTCAGCTGAGCGCATTCCTCATCTGTGGCGTCTTATTAGCACAGGAGCTGAAGGTTTGCAGTGTGGCTGCTGGGCACAGTGGGTCGGTGCTCACAAAGCTCTGTTTGTTCCCCGGCCTGCAGGGCTCCCAGGGTAAGCTCGGCTCTAGAGGGAGAGACAAAGAAAAAGGCACCACTGTCTTGCACACTGAAGCCGATCTCCAACACATTCGTCTTTCGACTCAATGGGGGTGCATTTCTCCTTTCAGGAGATAGAGGGATGTCAAAAAGAGACAAGTTCTTTCGAAACAGGGCCCCGGGATAAAAAAAGAAAAAGAAAACTGATGTTGTTCTGAGCATTTTTTTTTTCACGGTTTAAATGCCACATTGAGTTTTCACTTGTGGTGTTGGGATCTGTCTTTCTGATTTTTGTTTTCCATCTCCTTTAGTCTAAAGTTAGAGCTCTTTGTTCTGTGCTTCTTTGCCAACAAATTAGGAGAGAAACTGAATGCCCCCTTCCCCAAAAATCCACAAAACAAATAAGTTACTCTTCGGCATAATTCAACAAACACAAAATTGTATGTATTTCATTAGAATTTTGCATGATTGACTAGCATAATGTAGTCTATAAATACAAAGAGGAAGGTAAATGCTTTAAAGAAGCAACGTTTGCTGGAAGTCTTTTGGATTATTAGATTTGCACATCAAGTGACTATTTTTTTTAAAATGTAGCTGAAGCCAATGGGGATTGAATGGAATCTGAAAAACATATTTCAAGTATTGCAACAGATCCTGAATCAAATTTAGGTCTGAGCTTTGACTTGACCAATCTATTGCATTACTGTTGTTTAAGCTAAATTATTCAACTGTAGCTCTGGTGGTAGATTTAAGGTTTTTGTTCATGTAAAAGGTGAACTTTTACCTCAGTCTCATGTTGTTTGCAGCCTTTAACAGGGTTTCTTTTCGGATTGTCCCCTTTATCTTCCCATCAAATCTGATCAGCTTCCCTGGCTGTGCTTTAGAGAAAGATGCCCGACAGCAGGACGCACCCACCACCATCCACTCTTAGATAAAAAAGTAGGTTTGTAGATTGCATGACAAATAGGTGTTGAGATTCCTCCAATTGATCTCAGAATTTGTGCAGCTCCTCTAGAGTTACAAGGTGCTGCTATTCTGAATATATATAATCAATTGTTGGCATAGATTTTGATGTCCACCTTACCCTTAAAGAGCATGTCAGTTCTTTGGTTCAAACAGTTTATGATACTTCAACTGTATTTTTTCTAAGTGTTATTTTAATTTCCTCTCAAATTAATTATTACATTTTATAAACCTCTGAGAAACAAAACACTACTTATTAAAACATAAAAAAAGGAACATATCAACTTCAATTTTATGGTCTCCTCACTGCTCAGAAGTTCATTTTAGCATTAATTTAAGATTTTATTGCTCACCCTGAAGGCCAACTCTGGGTTTGTGCCAAATTTATCTCTGATCTCATAACACCTGGGCTGAAATCTGAAATCACAGGACAAAGCTCATATGATCATACCACGATCCTGAATAAAGACTAAAGGGAATGGAGCTCTTTAGGTCAGAGCACAAATTGAGAAAACATGCACTCCCTGAGAAGATCAGTTTGGCCAAATTCACTTTTCAATCCCTTTGAGTTGTTTTTAAGGATATTCTTTCCATGGATTTATAACTGTTATGAATATATTTTTATTTAATTTTGTCACAGTAATTTTATTTTTAATAATCAAATATTTCATTGCATGTTTGTACTTTATCACGTTTTCTCAGCAGGTTTTACCAGAAGCAATTTTCTACTCAGTTGCTTCTTTCTTATGTTGTAAAACACTGTGGCTTCTATTTTATTTTTTTTTCAGGTGTAATACAAATAAAGTTTTTGATTATTAATATTATTTACCAATGGTTTTCTGTTAGTTTAAGTGAATGTTCAAAGCTTGCAACATTCTCCTACAAACTTACTCTTCTTTAAACTTCTCTATAACCTTATATCCAATCTGTCTGCCATGTTTTGTCTCCATTGATATTCTCGGACTAACCTCTGGGGCTTTCACAGAGCACTTGTGTTTATACTCTGAGTCTGCTCACTGATCATGTGACTTCTGATGTTGATAGCATTGAATTTTATTTAGAAGTACCAGAGTAAACTCTCTGAATACAAATGCACTTTTTAAGGTTTTAAATGTAAAAGTGTAGTTTCTTTCCACTTAGCTGTAGTTTATATTGCTCTGTCACATACGTTTAAAAATATGGACATTTGTGGTTATAGTTTGACAAAATGGGCTAAAGTTTGACAGTAGAGAGTAGAGCACAGTAAATGTCCATCCATCCATCCATTATCTAACACGCTTATCCTTGCGGGGTTGCTTGGGGGTCTGGTGCCTTTCTCCAGCGGTCACTGGGCGAGAGGCGAGGTTCGTCCCGGACAGAATGCCAGACCAAAGCAGCGCAGTAAATGCATTTATTATAATTACTTTGCCTTGTTAAACTTGTTAAAAACGTACAACTACTTCACAATAAGGTACTTTTTTTTTTTTTTTACTTTCCCCTCAGCCTCCACAGTTTTGAGGACAAAATATAATATTCTGGTTAGTCCTACAGGTGATGTCAGGTCAGACATTTTACTGTTGTGCTCCAATCTGCAGTCCAAGTATAACTCCATTATAGAGGAGCCTTTAAAACAGGAGCAGTGTGACACACAGCAGGATGATTTAGTTTAATGACCATGGCAGTGACAGCACGGTGATGGAAATTGGACTCCCCTTGCAAATTTACATCACTTGAGGGTACTTGGGAGCTCTTTTAGCGGCTGTACTCGAGAGCACGAGCCATCAGGAGGTCCTGGATATGTCATGCTTGTCACCTTCCTTTAAGTGTATCTGCAGACGTGGGAGAGGGATTAATATTATATAGCCTACGGAAGCACGGAGGCCGCCTTATCAGCACCGCAGATGTGATAAGCACCTCCACCCGCGCGAAAACCAGGAAAAATCTCCGAGCAGAAAAAAAGACAAGCATCTCTTTTGTGTTGCCTCCTCGCACTGCTTCGGAGTTTCAATGCAGCTTTAGAGGCAGATATGGAGCAATTTCACATCTGTTGTAATTTGATGTGCCTTGATAACCCCCTGTGAAATCACCTTCATCACAACATAGCTGCATTTAGTTATTTAAAAAGTTGGCGTACGGCTTTGGAGATAACAGTCAGATGACTTTTGATTGTGAGCTATTCAGGCTACAGTTGAAAACACAGGCAGTTATATTAATAAAACAAAAAGAGAAATTAAAGAAAATGGAAAAGAAAACTTTTGGGGATCCTGATTTCTACCTGTTTTATTTGCAGTCTCCTTTTAGCAATAAATAAATAAATAAATAGTAAATGAAACTGTCATTTTGATGGAAATGTTTTCCACCACTGCCACAACACTCATCCCGCATTAGCACATGTCAATGCAGATGTCGACACACAAAAACTGTGTTGCCCTCAAACTGAATCGGAGCTGTAAATGGAAGTTACGGCAACTGTTGCTGTCACTTCAGTTTTTATCAAAATAAAAGAAGAAAACACCCGGTGGAACCAAGGAAACAGCGTGTGACACAGAAAAACATCAACTTCAAAGCAGGCATACTGTAATTAGAATTTATTGAAAGCTTCCTCAGTCAGAAAAAGGGGCATGATCTGCTGAGCATTCTGGATTTGGTCCCAAGCCTTTCTATGAAACACAATACAGTACACTACAGCTTTAGCATGGGGCCATGAAAAGATGCGATTATTTGTGATTCTGGAGTTGCATCTACAGTACGTATTCAAATTTTGCAGAACAAAATAGGAAAAGTATCTCTAGGGAAGCAGAGATTTCTGACATTTACTGAAAATTTTTTTCACATTATGCAAGTTGCGTTGTCAAGAGTAGTTCAGAAAAGCAGTAAGGTTTAAGATCTTTGGCGATGGAAAAAAAAAAAATGACACTTTTCTTTCCAAACAAGAAGGCTACACAACACCCAGGATGCGTGCCACCCACCAGCGACAAGGCATGATCACTCGACAGGCCACCTGGCACCCCCGGTAGTTGTAGGGCCAAGGCCAGTAGCCACGCAGAGGCTCACAAACTCTCTGACAGTGAGTGTAGCTGCGCTGGCATTCTGAGCAGCAGATTCCCTGGTGGTCCAGCATGCTATCAAAGGTCATGGTGCTCTCCTCTCTGGCCTCTCCGCTGCGCTGTGGTTACATTAAAGAGGATTATTATACAAGAGTAGCACATCAGATTTTTAAATCTATATCTGCAATTCAAACAAGTTCTAAATATTTTAATCATCTCAAGAATTAAGTATTTTTTTTTTTTTTGTGGAAAATGTTAATTTTTATAAGAGGTGGGAATTTTCTACATTGATTCAGCAGTTCATCAAGACAGACCAGCTGCTTTGACCACGGTGATCTAAAATTCAGATGTCCGACTGATGCTTGAACAATGGACGCAACAACAGCAAAGAAAAGGGTCTGCTTGAAGTTAATGCATTTTCTCACTGAGTTCCAGATTTTTGAAAGTAGATTTTGAAGAAGGTTGGCATACCAAAGGGATAGTTTGGACTTTCAATTTAAATGGAGTTATGTGGGGTTTTTTTTAGAAGCTGTCAATATTGTTCACTACTGACAGTACAGGTTTAACAAACAGCTGGGCCTCAGTTCATATTAACGTTTTCTAGACTATTTTTATAACTTTGTCTCACACTGAAGAGAAAGTCATGTTTGTAGCATGCTATTTCTAGTTGATCCTTATTGAACAAAAACCAAGAACTGTATTGGAAGCCTTTTGTTGCCATTTAGTGGGTGAACTTATGCTCAGTTTTAATTAAAATAAAGAACATTCTAAAAACAGTGAACCTTGAATACTGAATTCATGATTCAGTATTCAAGGTTGTTTCTATGGAACGTAACTCTAAACTTGTGGACGAGTCACCAATTAGCAATTTTTTTTCATGAAGAAAAATGTTTTTCTTTTATAAAATTTTTTGAAAGAATTTTAAAAAAATAGTAAAAAAAAATATATATGCAGCTTGAAAATTGAAATACCTACATGCAAAGGTAGTTAATTTACACAATAATTGTTTGGTGTTTGCAAACTAATTCAGGAACACTGTTCACCATTCATTCAAACATGTGCTGAAAGAAACATGGAACGAGTTTCTTAGCGCTGGCCAAGTAACAGGTGATTACTGTTTACACACGTTATGAGGATGTTGAAGACAAGTTCTTCGAATGTTTAGTAGTTAAGTTGAGCAGTGGAAGGTTTGATTTATTTGCCTTCTGTAGATGCTGACCATGTATGCATTTCTATATGCAGTTCATACTAATTCATACAGTCATTTTCCTCAGTCAACAGATTAATGAAAACAACAACAAAAAAACTAATTAAATATTCCAGATCCTACTGTATTTTATTTACACGTTGCACCGCCTTTAAATTCGTATTGGTTTGTTCTGGGCAACCCAATGAAAATTTTCTCGAGGCATCACAGTTTTGCTTTGTGCAACCAAATGAACCTGAATGGTATCTACAGAGCATTGTGGGTACAGGTTTTACAATGTTACATCTTTGTGCCAGAAGCTATTGCATATTCTTTAATGCACTGTATTTATTTTTTTATTAGGGATCCACTGTACTACAGTTATTTATGCACTCTAGTTCTGTAACTTTCAGTTTACAGTGACATGTATAGTGTTCTCCATTCCCATTCAATTATTGTTATAGCCCAATTATTCTGTGAGACACCTACAAATGGTAAGGCTACTGAGATGCAAAAGTAATACAACATGAAAAATAGACATTCTCACAACATCTCATTTCATTGTGTTCATCAGAGGACAATGGAAAAATGGCATTTTATGATAATGTTCCAGCTATCTAAAGCTTGTTTTCACACAAACAGTCGCCATCTGTGTCCATTACGGAGTGAAAATAGTCTCAAAAACCTCTGTGTGTGTAAAAGTATCTGCGCGTGTGTAATACCGGATATGTAACTCGTGCAAGCATCTTTGCACGTGATGCTTGCACCGTAAAAAGAGAATGTATGCATAACTCTGGGTACCTGTTAATATGTGGTCACAAATATGAAGAAATTAGGAATACAAAATAAAAGTACACACACACACAATTACAATTTCTACACCCATTAAATGTCTGCACACAAACTTTTTAACTACAACCTCATAAATCTGAAAATTATGAATCCAAACCTTCTCCTATGGCTACAAATGTTAAATAAGTAAACACGAGTTACCTGGTACACACACACAAAACTGCATTTACACACAGATCTGGTTACAAAAGCACAAGGATTTTGAGACTCATTTCAGGCTTTAGCACAGCCCAGATTTGTGTGCAAGTGCTGCGTCTAAATGCTGGTAGAAAGCTGGGTCATATGATTTTTGTTCGGAGTCCAGTGTTTTCTGCTTTTTCAGGCTCAAAACTTGTAAATATTACTAGAATATAATTTTTCTGCTTTCATTACACTGGCTTGTAGCATGTATGCAAATTATCCAAAACGACATAATCCAGCTGATGTGGTTTACAAGTCTTGTTTTCAAAGTCAACATGTTCAATGTTAAATCGTTACAGTTGTTTCCAACATTGTTTCAGTCAGCATTTTGCCAAGAATCTCTCAGATCTTCAAGCTCAGACTAAAGAGGAGACAATCTATTTAACAATCACAATTAGCTGCAAGGTTGCCATAGCATGTTAAATTTAGCACTGAGGTGCTAATATTTGCATTTGGCTGATGACGTTTCTTTTGGCATGTTAAGTCAGCCCAGGTAACACTGCAAAGTGTTGAGTGAGGTCTCTACTTTTTATGTATCAGGTCTATAATTTCAAATGTGAAAAAAGTGGATTAAAAAAAGAAATAAAATTAAAATGTGTTCATTTCTACAAATTTAGAGCATTTATGACACATTTACAACATTTGTGAATTAAGTCTCACTCAACTTAAGAGTCTTCCAGTTTTGGGTTGTAAAATGTCTTACAATTGCAAATCATTGTGGCATTCTCATCACTATCACAAGACAAAGCCTAAAACAAAGTCTTTGTATGGGACTTTTTCAAGGGCAAAAGCAATAAGCTAATATTTCAGTATGCAAAGTGGCGTGTGCCCTTCTTAGTTAAACATGACCACATGATAATAAACAAAGACAGCTTTTCTTTCTTCTAATTTCACTTTGTTTAAGATAGATGCTATCCAGAGTTGCCAATATAGGATTTAAAATAAGGACTGGAAGTTGGGCAAGGTATTAGGGCTTAATAATAAAATGGAATTGGATGAGCAGTACAGTGACAGGAATTTGTAAGTACTGGATTATAAAAATAATCTGGCTATGTAACTTTTTTTTTTTGTAATTTTTTTTCTCTGAGGATTTTTGGTGGCTCTATTGGCCCATATTTTTTGAAAGTAGGCTGACAGGATAGAGGAGAGCGAGAGAGGGGAAGACATGCGGCGGGAGTCAACCCCACGACAGCCGCATCAAGGACTAAGGACTCCATCCGTGGGTTCTGCCAACCCCCTGCACGGCCCCTATGTAAAATTTTTGCACATGCATTATTAGTTACAGTTCTAATCATTTTAATGAGATCCTGAAGATGTAACTGTATGTATGCTTTTTAAAAGTGAGCTTTAAAGATAGTGTTATTAATGCATCGAGTCGTCAGTGCATTAATAATTGAGTAACATTTTGTCACCTTTAAGAACATGTTGTAGGGATACTAGGCAGATTATGATCTTAAAGTACAGAATCATCTAAGTGAATTACTGTACGGATATCGGAGATTTCTTACATGCTTTTGAACAATACAATTTCCTCAGTCAGAGAAATTCCTGGGGTCAGTCCTTACATTGCGTCTTAGAAATATTCTTGTCGCCTTTGATTATTATTTTTTTTCTCAGCAAGTCTATGACATCCAGCACCATTCTTCACATTGTAGCAGTGCTATCAGTGTTATCGTTACACGTACAACCCTTCTAATTTTTTATCATTGCCATCCTCAGCTTGGGCTTGGGTTATTAACAAATACAATGAGTTTGAGAGAAAACTGTAAAGTCTTTTATGAGTCTTAAATCAATACAGAATGTACTTTGTGGTGTAATAAAGCAGAATATTTAAAACAGAACACAATGCTTTCTATGTTAAATATATTCCATAGTAAAGTGCCACAGAAGCAAATTCTTTGATTTTGGACCGCATTTAGAATACACTTTAAGACCGCTGTCTCCTGCTGGTAAAATACTGACTGCTGATAACTACCACACTGAAACCCACTTCACGACATCTGGAACCGTCCTTTTTAACACTGCTGTGATGAAGTAATCTGTGAAAAGCAAGACTTCATTTTAAAACAACACTTTAAGGATTGCCTCAAGGCCTTGAATATGCCTCTTATCAAAAATTAACCAGCTATGGAGACTTGTTCACTGTAAACGATGTTGTTGATGAAATGATCACTCACATGGTAGGGGTTTTCCGGATTGTATCCTGACCCCATAGTTGACTGTCCTTCATCCACAGCTTCCTGCTCACCGCGCCTCTCCGGGTCCCTATCCTGAGTGGACGCCTTGATGTCCTGCATGTCTAACTGCCGTTTGGCTCGTCGCACGCCTCTCTTTCTCCTCTCCCCATCTGTTACTCCATCCACAAGAGGCGAGAGTATTGGGTCAACATCCGCAAGATGCCGTACATGTCCTCAGAGCTCAATCCTACATAGCTGGAGCTGTCTCAGACGTCTTAAATAATTCACTTAGCAGCAGTGATATCAAGCAGTGCTGCATGTTTCCGTTTCATTCTTTTTTAATACAGGACTTTGTTATTCCACTCTAATTTTAGTGTATGTTCAAGATGTTCAAGTGTTTTACTAACTTCTAAGCTAAGGCAGGAAATACTGCAAGTGTGTCAGCAGATAAGAAAAGCAATCACAGCTAAGATTTTAATGAGCTGTGAAAAAAGTTAAATGGCTCAACTTAAAATAGATTACAGTGTATTTTAGAATAGCAGTTTTCCTTTTGGTGGGATCAGGTCAGACTCTATGGCTGCCCTGGGGCCCCTGCAAGCCTCCGGGTTCCAAAAATATGAAAAATATCCAAAGGACATGTTGACTTACACAGATATATAAGCTGATGCCAATGAATTAGAAAATTAACAAAAAGTTCATTTCTTTTGTGATCCAATTCAAAAGGTGAAGCACATTTAGATTCATTGCATACAGACCAATAGATTTCAAGTGTTAATTTTTAATTTGAACCATTATGGCAAATGATAGCCCAGAATTCAAATTTCTCAGAAAAGAAAAATCATGCAAAGACAACAAAGATTGACCTGGAGTTACATCACCTTTTTCTACAACACGTTTTCCTTCCAATCGTCTCTTCATAAATTTGGTTGGATACTGCACATTGTGTGCAGCCAGCTTCTTTAGCAGTGACCTTTTGTGGATTATCGTCATTGTGAAGGGTGTCAGACTGTGCTGGAAAAGTCTCTCCATGACTGCGTAGGCTAAAACATTTTTTCCACCCCCTTCTGTTTCCTTCTTTTATTGATCTATAAAAAGATTTAATATCCTAGCAAACTGAACGTGGGATTTTAATTTGTTGTTACCCCCATTCATCACAGTTAACATAAATCTACCACAAATTAAATCCTGCTTAAGGCCTCCTACAACCTTAAGCAGAATCTGGAAAAAGTAGGAAGAACCTTTGAGATAAAGAGGTTGGAGCCAAAAAACGGGAAGTTCCCCACAAAGATCCAGAATTCTGTTGCTCAAAAATGTGGTGTTCTTCAGTGGCTGCTTTGCTGCAACCCATATAAGGAACTCCTCATCGAACCTCACAGGCATTAATTCATCCGTCTGACAAGAGAACAAACACAGTCTCTCTGAATTTACTCAGATTAATGCTGCAATATCTCTCTTTCTTTCCAAATTCTCAAAGTTGCATGTCAAAGAACTCGCTCACGTACCAGGTCAAACATCAGCGTGTCTTTGTTGTGTGCTCCCACGAGCGAGAGGTTTGCTTTGATTTGGGATTTTATATAGCACTTGTCTCCTCCGAAGAAGCGGATTCCAGTTATTCCCTGCACCAAATCACAGAGATGCCATGTTTACATTCACAACTTTGCTACTTCGCTAAGCACACAGAAGGTCTCAGCTGAGCTCTGGGAGTCGGGGGGAGTGAGAACAAGGACAAACTTACTCACAATTTGAAAGTCATGAATCTCCACAGCCTCCCCAGCTTCACTCCCAGTTTGAAATCTCTGCAGATTGTTGTCAGAATCAATTTTCATGGAGCCCTCTCTCACCTTCCCATTGATGTTCAGGCTGTAGCGAACGCTGTAAACCTGGCAGCATTCAAAGTGACATGTTAAAATGACTGATTAGTCGAGTTATGTAAATCTCAAAGTGGCAAACACAAACAGCAGAGGCGGGAACAAGCTTCACGTTGCTTGTGTTATTTACCCCCTCACAGACATTTCCATGGAACAAAATCCTCTGTAGTTTTAACACACTGAGAATTTGAGTAAAGCACCACGGGAGATGCTGTTGCAGACCCCAATGAGGTGGTTTGCCCTACATGTGAGCTCATTAGAACACAAATAAACATTATGCTGTTGCGTATGAAATGTGGAAGAGCACAATGAATCAATTTGAGCAGCCTGAGTGTTGAAGTCGGAAGGAAAGATTTAATTTTACAGTTTGAAATGCTGTACACTGGTCGCCATTTTTAACATATAATCCCAATTCACTTACATTTTTATCACTGGCTTTCCACATGTGGAGAAAAACCACAAACATGCACAAGATGAACGCTGCACCAGCGATAAGGGCCACAACTCCAAATCTCAGCACATGACTGACTCCAGCAGAAGGTGGTGTACTGGATGTGCTGCGACCCTTAAATTCAAGAGCAAACAAAGACACACACAGCAAATGATGAACAATGACTGAGGCAAGACTAACACTGCTGGGTAAAACTTAAGACTATACAACGGTGACAGCTTAACAAACATGTCAAAGATGTCAGTAATGGTTTTGATCAAAAAACAGAGCCTGTCTTACCGCAGTACAGCAGGATCCACCAGCTGAATTCTGCACTTTTTCCATAATCCCTCTCTCGTGCCTCTGTAATTCCCTCTCTGGTTGCTTCTCTTTATGGAAGTTGGGTTATCTGCCAGAAGGCTTTCCGACAGGTATGTGTGAATGATGTAAGGTTAATATAAAATTGCAAAATTCTTCATCAGAATGTTACTTGGGTCCTCAGGTTTCCCTGAAGCAACAAGTAGCCAAACGTCTGGTGCCAAACTAAGAAAAAGAAAAAAAGAAATACAAAGGAGCGTTGAAGAGATTGAAAAAAAAAAAAACATATATACTGTACATTTCTTAAAAATAGCATCCTCTGGTAAAAGGAAATGTGGAATTGAGCCACATAATTTAACAAAATGGCAGATTGTGTATTTATATTTGCACATATCGAATGAAAACAGACTATTCAGAAAAAGTAAGGAAATCAACCAGACATTGATGTACACAACTGTCAAGCTTGTTAGACAAAGTGAGGATTGTGTAGTCTAACAGCTGCAAGGAAGGAGCTTTATACATCAAGAATTTAACATACTGTCACCAAAGACAATTCCAGTTCAATTATTTTTGCATGTCCTTTTGAGTACTTTTCGAGTAACACAAACCTCTAACAAATTATTTTTCAAGATTTTTGCATAGTTGCATTGTTCCTGCTGAAAAAAAAATCCCACATCCACTACCATATTTGTGAAGTGTTTGACCAATACAATAGATTTGTGTCTGAAAATCTGCAGTCCCTCCAGCGTTACCGTCTGCTCTTGGCTAATTCTCTAATTAATGCCCTGAGAAACATGAAACTGACACCTAATCTTGTCAGTCTAGATGAACTTCATTGGTATACAGAAAAACAACCCTTCTTTTCAGTGGATGAATAAAATGCTATGTTGTCCCTGTTCTGTCCACAAAACAGGGCTGCTCTTCTTTGTTTGGCTTTTTTTTAAGTCACTGGCTCCGATGCTGCTTCCCCAACAGATGGCTAAAGATGAAATTAAACTCTCTAGAACAGCCTCTGAAGAAATGCAACACCCTGCTGCAAAGAATAAAGGACCTGAGCTTCCTCAAGAAATACAGTCTGCTCAGTCCAATTTGGGAGGCGAGATCACTGCATTATTTCCAATACCAGCTAGGAAAACACTTCCATATTCCACCTCATCCAGTTCTTTCCCCATGTTGCATAAGATCTTCAACATAATCATGATTTTCCCAATATCCAAAATCAACTCTCTTTTATGTTGTTTGTTTGCTAATGATCCATAACGACCCCCAAAATGTATTTTCAAGGAGTTTAAAGTGCACACATTAAATTAACTAATAAGCAACTGGTCAGACAGGATTTCATACAGTAAAAATGTTCAGATTTTTGGTTAACAAAAAAAAAAACAAACAAAGAAAAAACAAAACAAAACATAGTTTTCCTACCTTACAAATATGCTCTACTACTTTATGTTTATCTACCTCATAAATACCCACTAAAATACATCAAAATTTGTGTTTCTTTCATGACAAAATGTGAAAAACTTCAAGGGTATTCATACTTCTGCAAGGTATTGAATAGTAAACTTATCTCACTTGTGTAGCAATTAATCTACTTAGATTTGTGTTAAAATATTATTCAGTTTTATCTGAAATTTATGCAGAAAAGCAGAAGTGAAAAGCACTACCTTGTCATACATTTTTTATGTGCTTGCTGCATATTTCCTTAAGTTGTTTGCCAAAATGTCAGCAGGAATGGAAACTGGCACCATACCTGTAGTCAAACTTGTAAATATTATTATTCTTAGGTTTATTTATTCAGGCAGCAGGATGAAGACGGGACACACTCTGAATACGTTACACACAAGGAGAGAGAGACATAGCATTTGCTTAATTATGAGCTTTCTGATTTCAAGTTTTACGGTCAAGGTTTCTCAGACTTTATTATAACCTAAAAGCAAGAAAAAATAAAGAGATTCAAATGTCCTGTTGCTTAGGAACAGATTAAATTACATTTTTTGAATAATTGGTAAGCTGGGAGGCAATCACACAAGGTGAGGGGATTCTTTGACCTTTGAAAAATATGCAATTGTAGGAGAATTTGAGCAGCAGTGCCATATTTGCATGCAAATCGGAGCGGCAGACTAGCCACATTGTGCACAACGAGAAGACAAGGAGATTGGTTTTTCGCTCACTATCTGTTTAGAACTACATTATATTTACTGCAGCTCACAAGCCTTTGAGGCAAATAAACTGTATACAGGCGGTTAATTGAGGTTGTATCACTATAAACAACTCCCAAATTTTTTTTTTGTTACATTTCGATTGCTATTGAACAGCAGAACAATGTTTATTTTAACTCTTTATTGTGCAACATCATGATAAAATCTACCACAAACATGGCTGATTGTTTTCCACAGCAGAGAGGCCATTTTTGGCCTAAATGTCCAAAAGTCATGCCCTTAAATAGTAACACATGCTTTTAAAAAGTCATAATAAAATTCCTCTTTACATTGAATCGTTATGAAAAATATATTATCGTTAAAAAATCTTGCATATTACACATGATACAATGAACAGTCAAATATGAGCCAAAGGACACACACAACACACTACTGAACATGTCAACAACCCAACATGGAGTCAATTTGAATTAAAGGTCTGTACAGTACAAAGACTAAATGTCTTTTAATTACAGTATTAGACATTTTTCATGTCCTTTTAAGAGTTTGTGTACTCAGGGATGGATATTTCATCCGTTTCCTGTATCCTGGCTGGTGTAGGTGGACCGACGAGGATGTAATCGAACTCCTGGTGTTGGACCTTTTCATACACGCTCTGCAGACCACTGGTTTTAGGGATATGAGGCGGGTAGTAGTTTTCCCTCCTGGCATCCCGGGGAAGCGTGGCAGTCTTGGAGAATGTTGACAGGTGAGTTCCGCAGGCCAAGCTTGTATTAGGCCGAGTGGCTGAAGGGCTCCAGCAGCGGTCCGAGTGTCCTAGCACTTTGCATTCACTGGTGCACGCCCAGAGACCTGAGGAGGGGAAAACACAGGAAATAGTGGATGGATTGTCTGAATGTTTGAGGACAGGAGAACCCAGGGTACTCAATTGAAATTTAGTTTGTATCTGAATCAATCATAACAACTCTTGAGTACTGATGAATATACAGTGGGTTGCTTAATTTATTGGTTGATTATCTCTGACACTCACTGTTCATTGGTGGTGATTCCTTTTTGTGGACGTCTGCACTGATGTCAGAGTCGCTGTCGTTGAAGTCGCTGTCCCCTTTCCCACTGTCTTTCCCGCTAATCTGGGGGTCCCTCGCTGAGATAGTTGTGAACGAGTTGCCTTTCCATATTGTTATAGGCCTCACAGTTTCTTTCCCGTACCCTGGCAGGGTGGAATAACCCTGTAAAGATGCAAAACACATTCATTTTAAATCAGAAAGCTCAAACAGATAAGGTGATCATTTTTAAATGTAGGAGGGAAATCTGTTTACCTTTAACTTGGCTTCTATTGGCCTGGTGTTCGGCTCAAAGATTCCTGTTGTCTGCCTGCTGTCCTCACTGCTGGTCTCTGTTGTGTTGCTGCTGGCCAGAGGCAAACCCTCTGGAAATGGATGGGCATCAAATGCTTTGCCTTTGTGATTGACAATCAATGAATCCACACGATTACTTTCAGCTATCTCCACATCGGGTGTTTCTGCTTTCTCTTCATAACCCCCCTCGCTCGTCTCCTTTTTCCTGCGGCTACAGATGGTTGCAATGAGAATGATAGCCAGCAGAAGAACAGAGCAGCTTCCAGCCAGGACAATGATTATGGCGATGGACATGTCCCACTCAAAGAGCTCCTCGTTGCTATTTTGAGCCGAGGAAGGCTGGCTGGGTGGGGTGCCTTCTATGAAACTGAAAATAATCATGGCTGTGGACGTCATAGGGGGGGAGCCATTGTCACTGACCGCCACTGTGACTTTAACACTGTCCGTGAGGTCATACGAAAGCTTTCGATTCACTAGCACCTTCCCAGTGTCTTTGTTGATGGAGAATCCTAAGTGTCCCCCATCTGTAATCTTAAAGGACAGCTGTGCATTAATGCCCTCATCAGCATCACTGGCCCTGATCTGAGTCACCAAGTATCCTGCAGGTGCATCTCTGGGCAGGAAAATCTCAGCCGACCCCTTGTAGAGTGGAGGCTCTACAATATAAGGCTGGTTGTCATTTTGATCAACTATTTTTAACCTGATTATGGCCGTGCTCTGCAGCTGGGGTGACCCCCCATCACTAGCCTGAATATGTACATCCAGCTGTTTCATCACTTCATAATTGAAACTCCTCAGTGCATATATGGAGCCAGACACGGAGTTGAGAGACACAAAGGTGTTCACCGGGGACCCCATGATGACACTGTCCACGAGCCTGTAGGTGATCTTCCCGTTGCTACCCAGATCCACGTCGCTGGCCTCCGCTGTGGTGATGTAGGCGCCAGGGGCGTTGTTTTCCGTCACTGACACCTCATAAACGGCCCTCGCAAAGTGGGGGGCGTTATCGTTCTCATCGCTCAGCCTGATGGTGAACTGGGTGATTTTTCTCAACGGGGGTGACCCGAAATCCTCAGCCATGACTGTTAAGTTATACTCACTGATCCTCTCTCTGTCCAGAGAGGCAGCTGTGACTATCATGTAGCTGTCCTCGTGGGCCTGCCGGAGTTTGAAGTGATCGTGGCCATACAAAGTGCAGTGAACTTGGCCGTTAACGCCAGAGTCTCTGTCCAGGGTGCTGATGAGCGCCACCAGGCTGTCTTTCTCTGCCGCCTCGCTAATGTACGCAATACCCATTGCGATGGAGGTAATCGGGGTGATGCTGATCTCCGGGGCATTATCGTTCACGTCCGTGACGTGGATTATGATTTTGCACACGGACGGGATCGGATTTGCGCCCAAATCGATGGCCTGCACGTCCAGCTCGTAGGTGCTTTTGTCCTCGAAGTCCACGGGACTCCTGAGGGTCACGCGCCCCGATTTGTTATCCACTTGGAAAAGTTCGCGGATCTCGTGAGAAACCTGCTTCCCG